AATATTGCATCAACATGAAGAAAAGATGAGAGATTTTATTTTTTATTTTTTTAGAAAAGAATTAGGATTCATATCAAGTATAAGTTAAAAAAAAAATACCTAAATAGAATCTAGACAATCTATCTTCTATACAACAAAGACAGAATCTAAGATTGCAAATGCATAGAAAAAATTCTAAACTTTACTCAATGGCTAAATTACCATAGTTAAGCAAAATCTTACAACTATGAGTTTTTTCTTTCAAAAATACTCACAAAAGTTGCCTTGACAAAAATGTCAAATCAAAAGGGCTATTCCATCTTAATTTTCAAACCTTAGTTGACACTAATAAAGTGAAGTAAAATAAAATAATAAATGGATGAAAATCCACTAAATTAATATAGACTAATATAAACTAATATAAATGACATAGTTTGGCACTCAATGCCATATCACGTGATATCTTATTTATTTGAAATTATTAATCAACTAACCTTGTTTATGAGTTATATATAGTGAAATTTATGCAGTAATGATTTTTACCAGCACAAATTAGTTAGCTTGTCATTTCAATTCTCTTTCTTTGTTATAAACTATTTATATATATATATATATATATAGACATACATGTAAGTTTTTGTATGTCTTAATCTCAATTATCTTTTTCTATCTTCCATTTTGATTTAAAACAAAATACTAATGACAAAATCAGGTGTTCAGAATCAACACCAAGGTTTTCAGATTTACCAACAAATAATAAATAAATAAATAAAACCCACTGTTGTACACAGACCTACATGTTCCAAATAGAAATTGACCTTTCTTCTTTTTTCTCTCATTCTATACTTGGAGATGGGCAGCAGGGTGCACCAAAGTCAACCTATTATGGTCACAATCTTAAAACTTGTTAATATTGGGGTTAAATCCTCTGAAGAACTTTGTATTAAGCAACTCTTTCTACAGATGTATGTGAATATATATATATATATATATATGTCTCTCTTTTTTTAATTGAAAAAATGTATGAAAAGAAAAACCATTAAACATATGCAAAATCAATCAAGAAAGCATTGTTTTGATTGATTTTCTTCCACACAGAGTTGTAGTTGTAAGTAGTATTCCACCGTCATGCGGAAACAGATGGGCCTATTTATATGGTTAATGCCAGAGGTACAAGGGTTGACTTTGAGTACACCAAATGCATAATCTATCACCTCCATGTATACACTGTCTCACACAGACAGACTCACTTGCTCACTTTTATATCTATAGTCATATTTATATAGGCGCATATATACATGTCGCACTTTAATGATTCTCTGCTCAATATTTTAAATTTAGGGATTTTCTTCATTTTTAATGCTTCTTTTGTTTATTTTGTATACTTACTCTCTAAATTGAAAGTGCTCTGCCCTATATTTGCAGTATACAGTCAGTGCCCTCAATTGTCAAATGAAGAAATGCCCTATGGAGACATGACATATGTCTTTCATCCTGAAAGTCTGGGATTTGCCTGATTCATGTAATAAACCACCTTCCATGAAGGCTCACCTGAAGATGTTATCAACAGGGATGCTTCATGGTGGACCAAATAATAGGTTGGAATCTTGTGTGATGAGGGATGGGTACTCATTATCAGGCTATAAATGAAATGGTGCAGGTAACAGAAATAACTTGGCAGAAATTTTCAATAAAAGAAAAAAAATGAAATTATGAATATGTGGGTTTTTTTTAAGGATGATTGTACTTCTGGTTTATATTTTTGAATTTTTTTCCGGCAAAATTAGCCTAGTATTTGTTGACATTGGTATCAGAATTATTTGGTGTGCTGAGACCTGATTAGCCACAAAGGTACACAACAGATTCTTGGTGGACAAGTGACTTTGGGTTTGTTATTTTCACTTCAAGCACATGCTTCAATGGTTAATTGTGTCAAATTAAACTGGATTTAAAATAAGCTTGTGATTGTGGCTTTGCAACCAAAAGTGGTCTAAATCCATATCACCAAGAATTGATTCTGTGTATTGCCCATGATTAATTTTAGGTTAAGAGTTTTTAATCTTTAAAGTTTGCCATTCAGATATTTGTATTCAAAAGTAAACTGAGCCTTCTCAGCAGCTATGTACATGTGTATGTTTCTCTCTACATATGTACACATATGGTACAAATTTTTATTATCTATTATATATATGTGTGTATAAATTTGTATATGTATACATATACAATATTACCTCTACTAAGTTCTCTCCCTCTAAGTTTTAATCCCTAATAAATTATAAAAAAATGGAAGAACTAACATGGTTCTATGGTGGTTATGTTATGTTTTTCCTAAGTTCTTAGTTATGGCCTTGAAAAAAAATAGAGATGGAGAAAGCTAAAGAGAATACAAATAGGCAAAATGGTCACTATTTGAGCTAGGAAATGAGCATGCTTTCCTAGAGATCTTTTGTATGCAACTTTTTTGAATGTTGTGAAGAGTCTTATAGGTAGTATATTCATCCGAATCTCCAACATCAAGCTTGGAAATAACAATAAAAAGGCTCTACAACTTCTTTGTGTGTGTAACTAATACAGTCATTGACTCTTTCTCGAGGGTGTTATCAGTATCTATGCCTTCCTTTGCTTATTGATGATGAACAAGCTCAACAATTTCATAATCTTCTAGCTCAATATGTACACCATTGTCTTTGTTTACGTTGAGCAAGTTCTTGATTAACATTAGATTTTATAATAGATGATCCTAAATTATGCCCACCAACTCTTCTTAAAATATTTCTTCACCATTATCAATTTTTGCAACTTTAGATGCATGCTTAAATAGCCAAGTATACTTGAAGTAGTTCTTTATTGTTGTTGGAGATAGTTTTGTCAAAGCCGCAAGTAACCAATGTATTGCTATTAGTTGGTCAACCTTATACAAATTGAACTCGTTTTTTTATCCCGATTAAGTGCATTTCACAAATGCAAGCACTAGTAGTGCTATTTAAATGTTGTAATAATTCTAGCATCTATTGGCTAAATCTTTGAAGTAGTATTTAGGAGAAGCTTACAAATGTCAACTTTTGGAGTCACACAATTGTTTATAATATAGAATGGCACATTGTCCATTAGGAAAATGATCCACCAATGTGCCCTCCCTACCTCTTCATTGAGTTTTTTCATCCATTCTTAAAATATAAAATAAAAAAAGAAAAAAAGAAAAAAAGACCTTGAATATCCATACTTTCTTTTTGGAATGATAATAGCAAGGCTTGTAGGCATAGCCAAGAAAAAAATAAAAATAAAAAATAAAAAACTATAACTTGCAGGTTCTATTTGCATTTGAGTGAATGCAATGGTGATCCTTGCATTTTCTTTTTCGTAGCCAACAATTTGTTGTTGAACTATAATTTGGTCTAACACCATATTATAAATCAATCTCGTTTCATCCATATTATAAATGTTGCACAAATTATAGCTTGTAATGTGGGCATGCAAAGCAAGCATTACTACATTAATACTAGCTTGGTTAGTTGAGCTTGTCTCTCCATGTATTTTCATAACTTTCAACTTGTGGTAAAAAAGAAACTTTTCAAACTAGCCATTTGAAAACTTGATTTTGCCTTCAGTGATTACAAGCATCTCTACAAAGCATCAATTGTGCTCCTTAATGAGCTTTGATGGTAGCAACATATTTTGAACTTGATGTTGGAAAATTCACATAGCAAGTGCTTCACTGAGTTCGAGAAAGTGAACCATTCTTAAGTGCTTTGCTTGAAGTTGATTGTTATCCATTACTTTGTATATTCATCACGTTTCTTCAAGATCTTGATAATGTTGACTTGCAAAGGTACTTTTGTAAGGTTAAACTCAGTTTTGGCCTACTCAATAATGGCCATCTGTGAGATATTGCACATCTTTTGTTTGCAGATATGCTATACATTGGTGAAGCACAATAGATGTGCAATATCTCACAGATGTATAGCACCAATGTATAGCACTTTTTTTTGAAAATAGTCATTATTTTTTATATGTGAAATTAAAAAAAGAAGAATTATCATATACTGATGTAGCAGTTTTTGAATACAAAAGCCTTCAGTAATTGTTCATTTTATTTGTAGACATTCTGTTAAACATTTTAATTTCATCTTATATTTTACTTTAATCTTTCAATATCATGATTGGTCATCCAATTCCTAACTCAATACATTTTTAAAGTATTTTTGGCAATTATATATATATATATATATATATACAGTTATACCATCATTACAATTATTACTAAAGTAATCCTACTGTGAACTAAGTATATGCACGCACAGGTACCTTTGAACACAGAAATTTCAGACCTCAAATTCACTAACAAAAACTGTAATTTCATATTACCCATCGTTCTCAAATGTGTGTATCATCTGTATGTTTCTGAATTGGTTTCATTCACAGAATCAACTGTCACTAGTATTGCTTTCCCATACTTTTCTTCGTAATTTTCTATATCACACCATGTACTTTAAAAGGAAGAGCATAAAACCCAACTGTCATTTCCAAGACACAATTACCGAAAAAAATTGAATATTAAAACACACTTATCAGTCACGATCTATCCATCACAGATTCATTTACAGTTCATTTACGAACATCTGACAAACTAGCATATCTGTACAAATTCTATCTCTCACTCCACACAGAAACAATCTAAAAATAAATTCAAAAATCACCACCTCACCAGATTCAATGCAAAATCACACAAAAAGCCTGTCAAAAAGGAGCAGTATATTTTTTCGTGCCAAATTCGCTTACTCCATGACCAACACTGACTAACGAAAGTGAAGACAAGGGAAGGGCAAAGGAAGCAAAAGGGGAACGTGGGTGGGTGCATGAAACCCACAGTAAGTGAGTTAGAGATTGAGCGCATAGATAGCCCCTCCGAGGCCCCGTGACGCTGCCTCTGTGTGCACCCGGCCGCCGGGGCATCCGCCGCGCCTGCGCTGCGTCTGTCGCGGGGCCGCGCTCTTCCTCGCCGTCGCGGGCAGCGAAGGAGGAACAGGGAGTGAGTGAGCGAGCGAGGAAGCGGGAGGCGCATTCCGTGTTGGCAGGGAGTGAACCACGACGACGCCCCCGATGGTCCTTTGCCGCACTTCAGTACGGGGCTCCTAGCAGACATTCAATGCCGCAGGGTCCGTGTACGTCTCGTCGCAGGGAATTCGCAGCCGTATTAGCACAACTACAGTACCGCACACTGTCAACGCTTGCGCTCTTTCTGCCCTCGACGAGCGAGAGACGTTGCTTCTGCACCCTGGATATACATCGAACCGAGTAGATTCAAGACTCTCGCTGGTCTGCGGTCGCTCTGGTGCCGTGTCGCCGGGGTGGGCGTGTGGTTCTGTGCTCGACGGCGTGTTTGGGATGGTCAGCAGCGCTCTGATGGGGGCTTGCAGTGCATCGGCGCTGGGTTAAGTCAAATCCCTCTAGTGTGTCTGTGTTTTGTGTCTGAAGTCTCGGAGACACGTTGATGGTGAGAGTGCTAGTGGCGTCGCGGTTAAGTGGGCTGGGTCATTCGTTTTAGTGATCCTGCTTCTCCTTCGGGAATTCGGACAGTGCGGCTTCTGTCGTTCAGGTTCTATACCAGAACGGGATTTCAACTCAGGGTTACCATTTCTTTTCCCTTGAGATGGTTTGGGGAACTAAAGTTAGGGAGTATCGATATCAGAAGTGAAGCGGATTTCCGAGTTGTGGTTATTTTCTAACGTTAGAGATTCCTCTTGCGTTTAGTGCTAGTGTGGCCCGGGTAATCGAAGTTTGTCAACAAACTGCTGGATGATCTCTCTTGTCAACAAACCAGCAAGCTCCGAGGTTGATCTCGTTCTTTACACCCCGGTAGCGGTTTGGAAGCGATTCCTGTCGTCAACCCAGTCCAACTGAATTGTGACCGCCTGGATTGTCACATTTCGACTACCTCACTTGTAATCATGGATGGACTCCGCTGCTATCTTTTCGACTTGCAACGGAAGTACTGCCACTAGTACTGGAGGGAAAGAGGCATCTTGTCTCAGAGAGCAAGACTACCTCATGAAAAGGACCTCTTAGCTAGTGGTAGGCGAAAGCTGGTTTGGCAAGGTCGAAGGTATGTAGAGCAACCTTGCCTCTAGTTGCTCACTCATTTCTGTCATTAGCCCTCTTTCACCCAGGCGCAGCACAGGCCTGTCGGACCTGTAAGCTAGTCCTTCGAACTAGTCTACAGCACTGTATTTACACACTTCGGATTGAACCCCTTTGAATCCCAACTAAATTCCTTCTCTCTGACGCTGTAAACCGGCTTGTCCCCGAGACTCTGAAGCTTATCCAACAAAGTTGTAGGATTAATTTTGCAACGCAGCATGTCGCTATCTTTTGATAACTCAGAGACCGGGTGCATGCTTTTGTTTGACTGTCATCGGTCGATACCAGCACCCTTCTTGACAAAGACATACCATCTGGTGAACGATCCTTCAACAAACGAGATTGTGTCGTGGGGAGAGACCAACACGACATTCGTCGTCTGGCGTCCTCCTGAATTCGCTCGAGATCTTTTGCCCAAATACTTCAAGCACAATAACTTCTCTAGCTTCGTACGACAGCTGAATACCTATGTAAGCTCCGCATTCCGTTTCGCAACTGTGTTGATTGCGTGAAATTTGATTAATTGCCGTCCAAATGAGTAATACATCAGGTTAGTCAAAGAGAATGAATTATTAACACATAGTTCTCCGTAGACAATTCCGTATTCATATAGATTGGACGATTTGAACGCATAGCTGTTCTTTTTAGATAGAGAATGGTAGACTGGCATACACAAGGAGCTAACTGCAGACTGGAAGAAGCGAAATTAATTCTCGATATTCCAGTTTTGAGATCGTTGAGTAGTTCTAATTGCTACAGGTGGCTCAACTACGCTTTATTCTGCAGTGTGTCTAGGGTCAAGGAAATTGGAAATCCGAACCTCCGGCGGTCGATGGTTGCATGAACTTTACAATAACCATTGGTATGTCCTTGTGTTGGCAGGGTTTCAGGAAGATCGTCCCAGAACGCTGGGAGTTTGCGAGCGATTTTTTCAGGCGAGGAGAGAGGCATCTTCTATGCGAAATTCACAGGAGGAAGGCATTGCAGCCTGTTTCGGTTACAGGGTCAGTACAGCAAAGCCGCTCATTGTCTCCTACTTCAATTGAGGATCAAGCGTGGTCGTCAATTACTTCTGCTATGCCATCACCCCTGCAGATCATTGTACCAACTCATCAGAATGTCACGACCATCGGTGTTTCAGACGAGATGGAGAAACTTCGAAAGGATAACAACATGCTTCTTTCAGAGGTGTCTCGACTTAGCCGATTGTACGAAGAAGCCATGGCAATTATTCAGCACCAGAATTTCAAAGGATCGTCACCGGATCTCATAACTTACAGCAGGTGAGCGAAATCATACCTTAATTAACTGCCGGAGATAGATATTGTAAGAGAGTTTCTAGGTTCTTTTGACTAGTTTAAAGAAACTTCATGGTTTTCTGATCCTTTAATACCTAGCTTACCTGTGGCTTGAGTAAATCAACGGTGATGTCGCAATCGAGGTTTAGTGGCTGGTGGGTTTCGACGTAATAACCTCCCCAAACTTTCGGTATTCCAATCTAGGATGAACTGTTAAATTCTTCAGTTTACATGAATCGATATTCTTGCAGTACGTATCGATGTAGGTGATCCAGTTGTGTTTGGTTCTTTGGTATATTTGAACAAACCTGTAGGACGCATATAATTGAGTCAATGACCACGTGCATGATGCATGATGACTCATAATCAGGGTTCTTCGGATCTCGACTCAGAATTTTGAATAGTCAGTTGTGGAAACAGTTGTTTTATCACTTACAACTCAAACAACCGCCTACGTCATTTCTTCAGTTAAGTATACCCTGCATGTGCCTCAAACACAGGATCTCTGATGTCGAACAGCTCGTAGATGGTCAAAATTCTGTGCTGACTGTTGAACCACGCTGATATCTGGTGTAAAATCAGGATTGGAGCCAGCGGCCAGTCCATTGATCGTACAGCATCCGCACCACTCCCAGGGGAACCTGCAATCCACCAGCAATTCGTAGGTCCAGTAGTGAGAATGGAGGGGTTTCGTGAGCTCTCTTCTGTCCATACTAGAACCACCAACTTCGATCCGTATAGAAGCCCCCTGCTGCCAACATCTGCCATCCAAGAAAAGCCGTCAAACGAATCTATCATTTCAGGTGACTCCAAGCCCACTTCCTTGTGTGTCAAACCAACAGAAGCTGCGTCGTCATCAAACACCAGCAACGAAACCACACCCGAAGGAACACGAGTCACCGTGAAACTGTTCGGAGTCCCTCTGCATGGCCAAGCTGGCGACCCGGGGTCATTCAACCATGAAGCATCAGAAGTTGGAATGAAACGCCACCAGCCGGAGTCTTGGGATACCGTCTATAATCCTGGGTCACCCCGGAAGTACCTGAGATTGGAGACAACGCCGGAATCCCGACCCTCCACCCCGCAGCAGCAGGTGCCGTGGCTGCAGATATCTGCTACGCGAGACGAAGGAGTGTACATTTGAGAAAGCTTGTGTTTTAACCAGATAGCTAAAAACCAAGACAAAAACAATACATCAACATATTGCTGTAAGTTTCTTCACACATGTCCTCTGACCAGTAAATAGGTATATAGAACCACTGATGCAAATCGTGTGCTAGTAGATTGCGGCAGGCTTATAAACCGACCTCGCTCTTGATGATCATGCAAGGGTTTTGTAAATTTTTTTTGGGACTGAGGCTCCCGTTTGTACTTAGTGGAGTTATCTTGTGAAAGTTTCGACTGTCGTCATGATAGCAAAATGGCGACCCACCAGTTGATTGCAGTTCCTTTGAGGTTCTCGACGCCGACAGCTTTGTTTACTAGTTATCTGAACCTAATTGGATCTCATTCATGGTTGAGAATTCACGCAACATTGTTTCATACAGTTAATCATTTTCTGTAACACCCACTGCTTCGGTACTGCTTCACGAGCAGACATCTTCGACGAAACTAGTATGTCATGAACTTCTACAAGCAAGCAGAGCAGCTTGATGTTAAATATTAAGAATTATATTCAACATGAATGTTTGTTCCTCTTTTTTTCATTGCAAAAGTGGAAGATATGCCGATGCGTTGCGCTCATATTGAATGCTATTTTTCACGTCAGACGAAATGTTCTCCACATCTTAAATGCATTCGATTCAAAACAATCTGTACATTAGTTTATTTTACGTAATGGTCCGAAAGCGTAGTACATAGAAATCTTGTCTCCATCGTATGTCCACATTTTTTACACTTGAATCATCATTTGCTAAATTTAAGTACATTTAGTAGTCCAACTTGACAATTAATTATTCAATTATTTTGTTCAAGTCCCACTTTATACTTGTTAGATGATTTTGAAAATTTATTTTGATCATATCTGAATTATATAGACTAATGACTCTTTTAGTATATCAACAAATTAAAAAAATTCTAATAAATCAAGCCAAAAAAAACTTATTTTTTCTTGATGATGAAAAAATAATTTAACTATGTTAATAAATCAATATAACTAGATCTATTTTATTTATTCATTTCTTCTTTTGTATCATGTATTTATTTTATCTTTTAATTTATAAATTATTTTTAAACATTAAGTGTAAACTTCAACTAATTTTTTAAACTTGTGTATGTATCAATTATTTTAGATATTAACTTAGGTACTATTTTAATTATTATTTTATTTTAATATTCTTATTTATAAAAACAATTTATTAATTTGTTCATGGCTTTATAAATATATTAATGATTTTAAAAAAACATGTAAAATGATAATAATAGCAACACTGTATATATATACTAAAAACTATATTTTAGTTGTAATTATTTGTAATGTATTGTATTTTTGTATATATATATATATATATATCTATCTATCTATCTATCTATCTATCTATCTATCTATATATATATATATATATATAAGATAGTAGTATATGTCTATATCCATCTACGTAAAGTACCATCTATCTTTTTATGCATCCATTTAACTATTTAATTATTTTGGTAATTATCTAAATTCCTTTTTTATCCTCTCTTGTTTCCTTTCTTATTAAATACTTCTTTATCCTACCTCGTGGTTCTTCTCCTTTTGGTTGGAATTCTTATTAAACTATTTTTTAAAAAATAAGAAGGTAGATTAATCAATTATAAAAAAAAATGAGATAGACCATTATAAAACAACGTTAGATGGAACAACAATCTTTTAATAGAGTTTTTGAATTTTTCAATATGTGTAAGAGAGTTAATGCATATTATTAAGATTTAACACCATTAATATTATCATTTTTGTTTGAACAAGTGATATAAGAACATAAGGCCATGAGATAGAGCCAAAATATAAGCAAATCAAGGTAATAAAATGACATTCATATAAGAACTTGAATTGTTGTAAAATAATATAGAATTGGGATATAATATCTTTAACTTTTTTATAATAATCTTTAAACAAGTAATGATACAAAGTAAAAAAAAGAATGATATGTTGTAAAAGAAGGCTCTTTGTATTGTTAAATGGTTGATTTATTATTAACATTTTCACTCGCACTACAAAATTTTATGCTCCTCAAATAACTCTACATTGTTGTTTCATCTTTATGTTTTTAGATTATGGCACATGTATAATTATATAAATATCTTTTTTTATAATTTAGAATTAAACACTCACTTTATTTCCAAATATTACTACTATATACTTAGGAAATTGTTAAATTAATCCAAGCATTTACTAAACTAATACATCCATCATAAACATCATCAAAACATTCTCCACTATTGGATTTGCTTTGATCAAAAAGCAATGAAAAAATAGTTGGATCCTGAACCAATGATATGGGTGGGTTGATTTAGTAAATATATGGGTCAATTTTACAATTCCCTATGTTTATAGCTTCTAATTAAAAGATTTTGTATCTAAAAGATATACATGAAAATATTGACTAATTCAATTGCAATTTTGGTTGGAAGTTAATTGATGAAGACAATATATATATATATATATATATATATATATATATAATTAAGTATGGGTATTTTAGCAAACTAGACTTAAGTGATAAAAAAAACTTCGTAAATACAAAATGAATGCAATTTCTTAATCAATCACTTACTCACTTTAATGAACTTGTTGCATGCTCTCTACATTTCAAAAAGTTTGCATGATCATGATACCTTGAAAAAGAAAAGAACATAAATATGCTTTGGAACATATTTTAATGACAAGAATTCTATATAAGTTGCAAACAAAATATAATATTGAATGGAGACGTGGCAAAAATGTCTCTATATTGTATATGATTATATTATCTCACATATCATAATCTATGTAACATGAGATACAATTGCCACTATTATTCCATCAATAATTTTTTTTAACAAATTACATATACAATAAAACAAATCAAAGGTCCTGTTGCATTTATATTCAAATCTATCTATGTATATATATTTTCAAAATTAAAATATTTTAGCAAGAATTTTTCATATTTAAAACCATATTTATTATTATTTCTTTAACCATCTTGTCAAAAAAACATTTTTATTTATAAAAACCTAATATATAAATAAATTAAAAATATTATTTATGAATATCTATAATTTTAATTTATACCAAAAAAATCATTTTTAGAAGAATTTAGATGCAATAATATTATTTATTATAGTCAATTTATATATAATAAAAAATTATTTGACGCATTTCTAGTATCAGATGGTGTATCAGCACTATGTCTATGTTTAATTGCAACAATATGATGTAGTGGTTGTTTTTGGTCAATTTTTTACAGTTTTTTTGCATTATTAACATTAATGTTAACACATAAAATATCCATACTAAATTTCAACTAAATATAAACATTTTTTTATTATTTTCCGTTTTCAGTATACAATTGAGAAATTACTATGCATCACGACCACGTTTTTATTTATTTTATTAAAAATATGTTTTAAAGCAATTTTCAAAGAAAAAATGAAATTTAAAAAATAATACTTTTCAAATTGATGATGGTTCTATGCCTCAATATAAATGGTAGTTAAGTACAAAGAAAAAAACATATATATGAATAGATAGCAAGCAACGCAATGTACATTTGATATGACTACAGTAACATTTACAAATGCATCAAAATTTATACCAACTTATCAATATACACATATGACTATATATATTTATATATATCGAGAGAGAGAGAGAGAGAAAAGATAAGAGTTTACGATCTATTGAAACAATCATAGACGAGTTTGGATTTCGTGAGTTTATAGCGATTAAAGATGCACAATGATATGTTATCAAGTTGCATAGTAATTCTTTAATGATGTTCTCAAATATCTATTTTATATATTACAATTCAAATAAAAATATAAATATAACACATTCAAATAATGTCACTGATGTGAAAAATGTGTTGGACTATTGCAGCATCCAATTATTCTATTTTGGGATTGGGTTGATTCGCACTTGTATATTCATTTTCAGCAAATTACACAAAGAAAATGATCACATCAATCAAATTATGTTGTTTCAGCAAAAACAATCCACAACTTTTAAACTTCTACAGACACAACAAAAGCATTTAATAACATCTGCAAATAAAACTCCATGAGAGAATACTACTTTAAAAAAAATTAAATTACAAATGAGACGAGAAAATATTTTAATTACTGAGTTTTCATCAAAATTTTAGGACTAAAACTCATGTATACATATCCAGACACATGCATTAATGTAGTAACATTAAAATGTGTAAAAACAACGATATCATATTACTGATTCTGGAGCACAACTCCACCACCGAAAAGCATTGCCTTGAATCCCTTGGGCCCACAACCCAGGGAGTCAGGCGCTCCAACACCAAAGCTAATTAGTAAGTGAATTAGTCATTTCACAAAAAGGGGATTAAGCCACTAACCAGGCTGCTAATCTTGTAATCCAAAGCCAGTCAGTCCCGAAGGAAGGGTCTGATAAACCCTCGTCGCGCAAACGTCGTGGGGATCCTTTTTGCAACGCCGTTCTATCTGCGAGGAAGTCTGATTGCACACATTCCATCATCGTCGGATTGTTGCAGCAATCTTCTGCAATCTGAAGGTGTCGTAGAGATGGAGGCGCTTCGCGGGATGTCGCTGGTGAGGCCAGGAATGTGTGCCTTGGCACCCTCCAAGCTTGGCTGCGGCATCACGCAGAGCAGCGCCTTGGTGAAGAAGGGGACCAGCACCGGAGCGCAGGGCAAGAGGCCGCTCGTAGTGAGGGCAGCAGCCGCTAATGCCGACGCTATAGAGAAGAAGTATAAGATTACGGTATTGCCCGGAGATGGCATCGGGCCGGAGATTATCGGCGTGGCCGTGGATGTGCTGCGGCTTGTTGGGTCCCAAGAAGGTGAGTGCTTGGGGTATAGATTATTCCGTGGAAGTTTGTGCCCTTGAATTATCTCTGGGTATGATGAGCTTTCATTGAAGATATGGCCAACGTTGGAGATTTTCGTTTTTCGGTTGTGTAGGTTTTGGCTTCGAATTTACCGAGAAGCTGGTCGGCGGAGCAGCTATCGACGAGCTTGGAACTCCTCTGCCTGAAGATACATTGAGCACTTGCCAACAATCTGATGCCGTGCTTCTTGCTGCAATTGGCGGGTACGTCGTCTGATTTGTGCGTGGTTGCATATCCTTCGCATTGCACCAGCTAAACATGCCAATTCTGTTATCGCCTGTGTGGGAATTGGATTCTAGGTACTGTGGGCAAGCAAGGGTCTGTGACATTCTGGCCCTGAAGTTTCATAGCTTCCCAAGGTTCTGGCTTGTTTCTAAAACTCTTGTCAGCAAAGGCATAGTTGATTTGAGATTGTTGTATTTACAACATTTTTCTCAGTAACTGAGGAGCAGCATGCAGGTACAAGTGGGATAAAAACCCACGCGACATGAAACCCGAGACCGGCCTGCTAGCGCTTCGTTCTGGCCTTGGTGTCTTTGCTAATCTTCGACCTGCTGTTGTGCTCCCACAAGTAAGATTGCCGACTCTCCTTTCTCTACATTGCCTTTAATTCAAGGGTCGCCCAAGAATGCATCACGTATATCTCACCTCCATTTATGGTGCTGTGAGTTAAAACCGATTTATCTTTCTGAACAATGCATGTATACTTCTCAAAGAGATAAAAGTATGAGGAAGTGATACATTTATGCTTCGTAAATGCTGAAAGTTTGATACACTGTGCTGGGAATTTTGTAAACGCAAGTTGGTGGACTCATCAACCCTAAAACGGGAGGTCGCTGAAGGCGTTGACATCATGGTCGTCCGCGAGCTCACTGGAGGTCAGTACTGAAAATCAATTTGATAGTATCTGGTACCCTTAGCTGCACCAAATCCGAGAATAATCTTTCTTCTGATAATTCTGTACGGGCTTGCTTCATGAATAGATTAACTAAGTTTTACGTATATGTCCATTATTTTATAGCGTTCGAGGAAAGTTTTAAGGTTTTGCTTGTGAGTTTGGACTCTCATGTGCAATCTAATAATGAATGGTTGCTGTTCGTTTACTTTTGAAGACAGGGCTGTATTTTGGTCAGCCAAGGGGCTTCAAAGAGACCAATGGAGAGCGTGTTGGCTACAATACCATGGTTTACTCAGCATCAGAGGTATGTAACATTTTGTATGCTATTTCTTGGCCTTTCTTACTGACTGCCTCGTTCGGTTTTAGACTCATTTGATCTGTATATAAGAATCGATATAATAGACTAAGGTGACCATTCTTTTTTTTGAGAAAAGTGTAGAGTTTCTGAGTTTTTCTCCCACCTCTAACGACTAGTAACAGTTCAGGTAACTAGTGTATGACACAGTTTGGCCTGGGAATCTGTAGTTAAGAAACTGAAACCGGTGGATTGATTCGTCGTGACATTAATATGTATCAAGCGCTTTTCCTCCAAATATGTTGTAGGATCTCAGTTTTCTTCATTTCCTCTGCTTATTGTCAGATTGATCGCATCGCTCGAATTGGATTTGAAACTGCAAGGAAGAGAAGAGGGAAGCTTTGCTCAGTTGACAAGGCTAACGTTCTTGAGGTACATTTGTCCACCATTCATTGTATTCCCGTTTCTTCCCAATGCCCTGGGACTTAATCAGGGACACATCTTGCATTCGGGCGTCATGCCACAGTGCTTGAGGTTGTGTGAGATGAAGCAACAGAGTTCTGGCTTAATTTTTTAGTTTTATAGAATTAGTTCTTACTAATTACTAGGGACTGTTGGATGTGCTGTAATAGGTCTCGCAGTTATGGAGAGAGCGAGTCACAGCCATGGCATCTGTGTATCCAGATGTGGAGTTGTCTCACATGTATGTTGACAATGCAGCCATGCAACTGATTCGCAACCCCAAACAGGTACAACGGTTACCCTTCATGGGCACTGCAATTGTGGAGTATCTAGTACATGACTAATTCATCATAGGGGTTGACATTTGGTTGTAATATTTGCTCATGTGCCGCGTTTCATTCTGACGATTAATAATTCGTTTGCAACAGTTTGATACTATCGTTACTGGCAATATCTTTGGTGATATTATATCCGACGAAGCTTCCATGTTGACAGGGAGCATAGGCATGTTACCTTCAGCTAGTATTGGAGAATCCGTGAGTTACCTAACTGTTGAAACTACTCCCGTGATTTTCATGTATTTCCTTTTTGAGTTGTCCAAGCTCACTCTTGGAAGTGGTTTTCTTCCACCTTGTGGGAGATTTTACTGTCCTGACCCGGCAAACTGTCTTGGTTCTCAGGGTCCTGGTTTGTACGAACCCATTCATGGATCAGCTCCTGACATTGCCGGCCAGGTATGAATTTTTTTTGTTTTCTCTGTATGCCTACTTGAGTTTAACATTGAAATTTTCACTCGTAGCACGTATGATAGTAAATGAGAAATTATTCATCAACCAAAGGCTTGTGTAGAATCCTCGGCTCTTAAAAGTGTTAAGCATGTTGCTTCCAGGACAAGGCAAATCCTCTTGCTCAAATTCTGAGCGCAGCAATGCTTCTACGGTATGCCCTGGGAGAAGAAAATGCTGCCCAGAGGATTGAGGCTGCAGTGATGGGCGCTCTTGACAAGGGTTTCCGCACTGGTGATATTATGTCTCCTGGCATGGTACTTTTCATTCCCACAACGGTTCTATTATGATCTTTCAGTTTTGGAAGGATGGCTGTTTGTAGTTCTCCCTTCAAAATTCATTTGCATGACCTGTTCCTGAGGGTGCACAATGAACTTACCTCTTGTCTGTTTTTGTGACAGGAATACGTTGGGTGCAAGAAAATGGGAGATATTGTGCTTGAAACACTAGAAGCTTCTCGACCAGCTACTGTTTTGCATTGAGTAATAACTACTACGTAGTATTCCCTGATTCTTCTGGTTCAGTTGGGGAGAGTATTGTTCCCAAGTTACCTTACCGAAGCGTATAGAAGCCAGGGAATTTCATCAGGATTATAGAGAAGCAAGAGATTGAAGTCTAGATCTTTCTTTTGAGGCATTTCTTTGTTTTCTTTTAGTAACCTGATCAACATGTCGTAGCACCATTTTTTCCATACTTGAGACATATGCCGTACGACGTACTTAACTGGGACCATGCTGTATATACCTATCACATGTGAGGTTAAAATAACCAACTAATTCATAAACCCTCATTTAGTTGAACTCGACAGGTAAGTGCAAGTAACTGAAATCTTATCCTTTGAGTGACTTTTAAGAGGCTATAGTCCGACAACCTTTCTCATTGTAATTGGAGACATGTGTTGAACAGAAGCAGCCTGCTCAGCTTACCGATCAATCTACCTCAACCATTTGAAATCTATGAAAATGGAGTTGAACTTGCGATCAAACTTTCGGAGCATTTATATCACCAATTCAAAGGTTGTAGGCTAAGTACAGGGCAATCCTGCCAGATAAGCCTGGCGTGGCTATAATTTAAAACATTAAGATCAAATTTTATATCTAGAGCAACCGACCTGAAAATTGGGAGTAGATGGAAGATCAAGCACCCACAATCTTGAGATGCCGAATCAAAGTCGGTTTTCAACTAGGGAACTGGTCCCTCAAATGTATTGCCGAACTAGACTGAAGGAATGAGTATGCACAAAGTTCTCTTACCGTTGCACGTCCACGTAGTATTCGCAGATCCGACTTGTCCATGTGGCCCACTGTGACTGAATAAGCGCTCTCCATTTGAAACAAATGTTTGATAACGGTCATCTAGTTCTTCTGGTAAGTGCTCCGTGGATTCCATATTCCGTACAAAAACAAAGTGTTTTCCTCAGTAAATGCACAGGAGAAAATAATAAATGAATGAAAGTGACATGGACCAATGAATGCAAGGTGAATGGAATGGAGTTGGTGTTGGCATTCCATAAAGAATGGAATGCTGATTCATTGGTTTACTTCAATGACAAAGTATGTTCACCTTGTTCATCATTGTTTTAAAGTGGTCTCTAACTAAAATTAGGAAAAATAACTTTAGAGGGCAACTTTAGGAAGAACTCACAACTTTTAGGTTCATTCTTAATGCCTTGAATTTATGTACTTTTAAAATTAAGGTCATTTTTCTTCTTCACTTCTAGGAAGTTATATTCTTCTACAAATACCATGTTGGTTTCTATCATTGGTTTTATTCTTTGAATATTTTTCTCCTACCCATTTTTATACAATAGTACTCACTCATGTGATCTACCAAACTTCACATTTAATCCAAGATACCATGCTAGTCATAAAACTTGTAAGGTAAAATTTTAAGGATCTATTCTATTAACATAAAAATAAAAATAGATTATACATGATAAACTAGAAAATGGTGCTGCAATCAAAAGCAAAGAATATTAGGCTAATTTGGTGAATAATAATAAAAATTTATGTTTAAATTAAATTTTAATGAGATTTAAACAAGATTTAAGATTGCTAATGTAAATTCTTACCAAAACTTTGCCTAAATGCTAGATTTACATGGATTCAATAAGCTTGCATTATGTATAATTCCTTCTTTAGTACTTATAATTGACAATGTTGTAAGCAATTAGGTGCTTAAAGTGAAAATAACATGAGAAGATTAGAATAATATGAATCTTCTTTTGACTTTTGACTATTTAAAAAAAATTGAAGTTATGTTTTTCATATATTGAAAATGAATCAGGTATGGAGTTTGGTGGAGGCTTTCCTAAAGTACCCATATTTTAATTAAGTTGGAAAACCATTGTAAATCTAAATTTTTGTATCAAGAAACAATCTCAAACATGCAAAATTTGTTGGATGTTATAAGAACAATTATAGTTCAGTTAGTTCGACTATGAGTTACAACATTGACTTAAATTTTTAAAATGAATTTTGATATTGGATAGCATGGAAAGGTATCATAACTGTGAGATGAGTAAATGATAAAGTTAGAAGTCATTGCATGCGTAAAATAAAAATTACGTGTATATATATATATATATATATATAATTCAATGAGGGTGTAAAGAATAATGATCTTCAACAAAAATATTCTCTCATGGTATCAGAGCTAGGTTGGAGAAGTTTGTTGATCACTGATGGTAATGTGTTTTTGAAAAACACAAAAGAGTCATCTCTTTACTTCTACAGAATACTTCTACAGCTTTAATTCGAGAGAGGACTAGTAGAAGTAGTATAATCAATGATATAGAGAAAAATCTTCTAAGAAAAAGACTTAAAATAATGAGTGAGACTGAAATGAGAGGATATTCCTTTCTGTGAGAAGCTAACAAACTTATTAGAGATAAAAACTATCATGTATGGCAGTCTAGGATGAAATCCATGTTTATTAGGGAGAATCTATGGCCAATTATAGAAGTAAAAAGAGAACCAACAACTTTCCCTGTATTAATTGAAGGCAAACATTACACTGTGGCAATTCTTTTGTAGGAGAAGAATAGAGCACATTCAGAAATATTGATGTCTATTTGTGATGAATGATAGAAAAATTAGACCCTGCTAATGCATGGAATTCACTCAAGGAAATTTATTAGAGTGGAGATCAATTTTGAATCATGTTGATAAACTCTCAATTATTTGCATTACAATTACATGAAGAAGGAGATATCAAAGAATATGTGAGACTAGCAATGGAATACAGAAAGAAGCTTATTATGTTAGGAGAACCACTTCTAAAAACAATGTCTGTGAATTTGCTTTTTAATGGATTATCAAGAAATTACAACATGATGATTCAGTTGATTAATAATTTGACTCCTCTTCCAAGTTTCAATAAATGTGTTACAAGGATTCCTTAATATAATGACTTAATATAAGAGTACAACATCCAAGTGAAATTGAAGAAATAAACTATATTACATGTCTGAATTGTGGACGTGGACAAAGTCAAGGAAAACCAAATAGTGTAGACATTGTAGCAGAAGAAGAAGACGATTGAATTTGAGGGAAGAGCTAGTTTATTGCTTTGTATGTGGAAAGCTTGGACATATTATACATGAATGTTATCATTGCAAAGAACCAGTATTCATAGAGAGAGTTGTTAATACAATCATCGAATCAGAAGCTGAAAAGCTGTATGAACCAAATGAGTTCAAAGCATCTCTAGTCAAATTTTAGAACTCAAAATATTGGTACATAGATAGTAGATGTAACATTCATGTAACAGGAGAAAAATATTTGATCACAAACATGAAAGAAATAGCTAACAAAACTCTTACTACTACGGGTGGTGAATTACATAGAATTAAAGAAAAAGGTGATGTTCAATTACAAATTGATTATAGTGAAATAAAAGTTACAAGTGTCTTTTTCTATTAGTGGATTGTCTCACAAATGATTGTAAAGCCATTTTATTTACAAGAACACACGTATATATTCTAAGCAGTGTTAAAAATTTGAAAATAGTTGCTATCGGACACAGAGATTCAATAAACGGACTTTATAAATTTGATGATACAATCTTAAAATAAAAAAATAATAATTGTTGCAACCAAAATTGAGATAGAAAAGTGGCACTGTTATTATGGACATTCGAACTATACTGAATTATACTATCTTTCAAAGACAAATCAAATAAAAGAACCATCCACAATTTAGAATATAAAATAAATCTGTAAAGCTTGTCTAACAGGACGTCAACATAGAAAAGAGTATCCAAGGGCGTTTTTTAATAGAGCAAAAAAGGTAAATCAACTTATTCATACTAATTTAATGGGATCCATAAAAATAACATTGTTAAATGGGTCAAGATTCATTGCTATATTTACCGATGTAAAAGTTGTAAAGGTTGGATATATTTTTTCAAATCAAGGGGAAAACTCTTGAAAATTTTAAGCAGTTTAAAGCATTGACAGAGGCTGAAATTAACAAAAAATAAATAAAAAATAAAATAAAAAATAGAGTTATTAAAGACTGAAGAAGAGAGGAATTCTTATCTATAGCATTCACAAACTATTGCAAAGCAATTGGAATAAAAAGGCAATTCATGCAATCTAGAACTCATATTCAAAATGGTGTAGCAGAAAGAGGAAACATAGCAATTGTTGAAAAGACAAGAAGTTTGCAATACAAAGCAAAATTACTTATACATCTTTGGTCATAAATGGTAAATATAGAAAAATATCTTATAAACAGAGGATCCACAAGCGCTAACAAAGAACAAACACCAAAGAAAAGATGGACAGAGAAAAAACCAACAGTCCATTTAAGAATTATAGGAAGCTTTGCATATAAGAAGATAATATTAATGCCAATTGGATCACCAAACAAGTAGAGCAAAAGCTTGCATCACAAGTAAAAGAAGGCAATGCTAAAGCTGCAAAACAGAGTGAGAGTCTCAAATTTCCATAAATCAATGATTAACGAGGAAGAAGAGTAGAATACATCATCAATTATAGAAGAAATATCACAACACAATATTTTTTAGAGAAAGAAAAAATCTAAACATGGTATTATTGAAACAAGTTCATAAAGATTAGAAATGGCTAAGAGACACAACACTAAACTGCGAGACTATGTCTGGACAGTAGAAAAGCATGAAGTTTGGAAGCCAATATTTTTATGAAGCAATGAATTTAAAGGAATGGAACAAAGCAATTAGACAAGAAATAAATGCTATTGAAAGAAATAATACATAGGATTTAATAAATCAACCAAAAAAGATCAATCCCCTTTATTAAAAATGGATTTTTAAAGAAAAAATAGACAATTTTCTTTGGAAAAATACAAAAGTAAACTAGTTGCAAAAAGATATTTTTAAAATTTTGGAATTAATTATTTTGAGACATTTTCTCTTGTGGTAAAATAGGCAACAATAAGATGTGTAGTAGCACTTGCTGCTAGAGGAAAATAGGAAATCAAACATTTTGATGTAAAGATTGTATTTTTGAATAGCGTTCTTGAAGAAGAAATATTTTTGAAGAAGAAATATTTATGAAAGTACTTGATGGTTGGAGAAATGAGAATACAAAAAGAAAACTATCCAAAATGAGGAAAGCTTTACATAGACTTGAACAAGCTCCAAGAGCTTGATATTTAAGAATAGACAATTATGCAAAAGGGAAAAATCTCAATAAAAACAATGAAGATTATAATATATAACATTGCATTCAAAATAGAAAATATACTTTACTGCTCTTATATGTTGACAACTTGTTAGTAACATGAGACAATTATAAATATATTGACAAGATTCAAAAATATTTGCAAGATGAATATGAAATGACTGATTTGGGCAATGTACAAACTTATCTAGGAGCAGAATTTGTATTTATTGAATAAAGAATCCGGATGCATTGAACACTATATATTAAAAAATTATTAAAAAATTCAAAATGGAATATTTGAACTTTGTGTTTGTACCAATGAACACAAGAACTATGCTTGAAAGAGACATGAAATTCCCACCATGCAATACTACTTTCTATTGATCTTTGATTGGAAGTTTGATTCATTTAAAAACAACCCAATATGTTACAGTTTTTGCAGCATACTTTTGTTTGCGGTAAATGAATCAATCACAAGAAGCACATCTCATGGTAGCTAAACACATTCTGAGATATCTTAATGGAACAATAAATCACTGAATTTTGTATTGAATTGATGGTGAAGGAGAACTACAGACTTTTGCAAATGCAAATTTTGCTTAAGATCCAGATTCTCAAAAATCAATGACATGGGTATTACATAAACTTGGTTCATCACGTATCCATTAGAGTAGTAATTTGCAAGAAACTGTGGCATTGTCCACAACCAAAGTAGAGAATAGGACTTTATCTAAGGTTTCAAGAGAAATTAGTTACCTCAGGAGACTACTCAAAGAACTACAAATATAAGAAAAAGAGCCAACAAAACTTTTTAGCTATAATATGAGTTGCATAAAGCTAGTAATTAATCTAGTGATACACTTAAAAACAAAACATATATAATTACAGCATCATCACGTAGGAGAAAAGATATTTGATTAAAGTATTGAAGTAGAGTTTATTCCAAGTCAATATCAACAAGGTGATATTTTAACAAAACCACTTAATGGGTTTTATCTTCTGCAAAATAGATAAGTAGGAGGATTATTCCAAATTTCTTACAAAATAGGAACTAAAAAATAGTTGAACATGAAGAAGATTGAAGGTAATGGTGTGCTTCAACTAAAGTCTTATAAGTTTTGAATTCAGCTCAAAGAAAATGGATTATTTTGGCTTGACATTTTGACCAAGATTTATATATACCTGGATGCCAACCTTGTCTAATAGCATAAAACTTTACAAACAATTTGTAAAATTGTGCAAAGAAAAGTCAAAGACTAAAGATGAGCCATAGTATCAATAGAAATAATACAAGAAAAAACAAGAGTTATGTTGATAAAAGAAAAACTAGGATTGAAGGAGAGTGTTGGATGTCATAAGAGCATCCTTAGTTTAGTTAGGTTGACTACAAGTTATAACATCAACTTAAATTAGAAAAATGAGTTTTGGTATTGGATAGCACGGAAAGAGGTCATAACTGTGAGATAAGTGAATGATAAAATTAGAAGTTACCGCATGCATAAAATGAAAAATTTGTATATATATATATATATATATATAGTTCAGCGAGGGTGTAAAGAATAACGATCTTCAATAAAAAAAATCCTTTAAAATTCACCTCTGATCAGGTTATGGTAAACCAGTGCTTTAAAGATATGAAGAAAAAAAGAAGTATCTCCATGTTATTTCTGTGGAGTAGTTGACATATACGAACAATTTCACCGCAAATATTGCCGAAGGTGGAGTCTGAATAGTTTTCTTTCTCCCCAACAGAATTACAGGGGTGTTTGAAGGCGTTTCGTATATTGGGGCTCTCCGATCCTACTGGAATGTCGAGGTCAGACCTCTAGATCTCGGAATTTAGGGGATATAGAAGAAAAAGAAGAGCACGATGGGAAAGCAGAAATTCCGGGACAATGGAACCGCGAATTTTTGTTGCCCATGATCGCATGCTGTTTACACAATCTGACATTGCCTTCTGATGTGGCGTACCAGAAAAGATCCTTGATATCGCCAGGGCTTCCAAATACTTCTCAACCATCTTAATGTGACAGATAAGAGACTCTATCTGAATTCAATGTGTGACCTGAATTGCGTGATGGCTACATTGGAATGCCAAAGTTAATGCAGAAGGCGATGAAGCAATGAGAAATTTTAGGGCAATGGAAAACAAAAGCAGACGTGTCAGACGAAGCACCATGGCATGTACCCCAACTAAGCGGAAATGGTGTGTAAGCTACTGGGCGTATTTAGCGTGATTTGGATATCCTGATAAAGCCGCGGTGCTCCTCAACTATGTGTTGTTACGTCGCTAAATACAGGGAATGGTGCTGCTCCATGCACACCTTCCCCAAGCGTTGAGGTGCCCGGGAACTAAGGCAAAAGATTCTTCCGAGTGGTGGATTTATAGGTTATTTTAAGGTAACTGACTATTGGTGCTATGTGGTTATGTTTTGCATGTAAAACTGACTATAGGTGCAACTAAAAACTTGTAATTCTCCAAATAGTAGTTGACATTTCTTTTGCAATACATCATGGTGCACGTGTAATTGAAAAACCCGCATTGAAAAGAATTTCTTGAAGAAAAATCTCACCAGAGGGTGTTCTATACCGTACATTCATGGGTCTTTGATGCACCACGATCCGCCAGCAGTGGAATTACTACCGTTTCTCTCCACATTCGAGAATTGGCTTCATTTGTCTTTGACACAGCCTCCAAAGGTAATACTTGTGTGCACCAAGTTCTGCGTTGAAGAGTATGTCAGAATGGAATAGGCAGATTCGCCCATGTTTCACCCATGGGCTGTACCAAATCAGATGAAGAACTCTCAGATTAAAAAGCATGGCATCAGGGGAGTTACAGCGTTCAGAGTACGAGAAGAAAAATACAAGGTACACTAGATGAACCATGGCCTCAGTTCAAGAGTGTTGAAGTCCTGAGGAAAAGAATCCCTCACCCTCTACATGGAAGCAGCTTCAACCACATTCGCTCAGAATTCGGATCTCAATGACGACCTGGAAACACAACTAGCACTAGGACAGATTTAAGCACAATAGGCTGACATCTCAGTCTTCAAAGTGGCTCCGATGTCAGCGCACGCCGGCATCACATAAAAAGCATGTGAAGGTCGAAAATGGCTTCGGAAAGAGACGACACACCTCTGTTGACGATCCAGTCCAAGTCCTGTAACCAAGGCTAAGGAGGCTTAGCACGGCATGTCGTAGTAGGCACCAACAAAGACGTTGGAACGATACCTCATATTCTCTGACCAGCTTTAGGGATCTACGCAGCCAGATAGAGATCTCAGGGTCCACGATTTCAGTCGGGCACGGCTCTTCAGCACACCATGTCATCTGCAAGACCCGGTGGAGATGCATGGAACTACAGCCTCCGGATAACTACAGTCTGACGGAAAGCAAGGAAGCAAGGATTCGACAAGCGCAAAACCAGGGTGTCGAAGCCAGATGCAGATGCGGTTGCAACGGGTCCCTGCGGCGAGATGAACAAAGCAAGGCCGGGCTGGGGCGACTCCACCACCACTCCATCTATCAACCCAACTGCTCGCATTTCAGTCCCACGATTCCGTCTTATCTCTCTCTCTTCCTCTACCGACTGCCGCCTTGGGATCTCCCCCCCACTCTGTCGGTAAAAACCGTTCCGTTACTGCCGGTAGGGTACTTCCGAAGCTGTCGGTGCGGAAGAGTGCTTTCTTTCCGCGTATCAGACATGGCGATCAACCATCTCTGTTTTTATCGTATTCGTAATCGTATGTGTGTTGATATCTAGGAATTATTAGAATACATGCCATAGATTTATGCAAACTTGGGTTAATTATCTTGCTTTTGTTGGTTTTCGTGATCTACATGCGAGCTTTCTGAGACAATGTTTTGATGAATGGAAAGTATCTACAATGATTTATATGGACAAAGCGTTTCAATCAGGTCTATACAAGCAAAAAGGTTGTGTGACCCTTTCTCAATACAAAAAACCAACCATGATTTTGGATTAGAACTGAAACATGACTGCTAAAATCTAAATGAAATCATTCATGTTGCATTGTATTTGCTAAAACTATCTTTAACTGTATCAATTTTTTTTTTTTTTGTTATTGTCAAATTTTTGTTCTCACTTTATATATTCTATAATATTTGTGTATTGTACATACTATATATGATTATAAATTTTAATTTTTAAACTTAAAAAGATATTTTATCATAAAGATATATATATATATATATATATATATATACATGATCTTCAAAAGACCAATTGTTTATTGGTAGTTTTGAAGTTAGGTTTTTATATCTTATAGAATTAATATCACAATTAATGCTTTGAATGTTATTTAATAGTAGTAAATTAATTAAAGTTGAATATTTTATTAATGCCAAATATATGTTTTATTATTATTTATACATACATACATAGACATATATACACACACACACACAAAGATCAAATTTTTTACTAAATCAATCCATCCATCCTAACCAAGTATTAAAAAAAATAATGACCTTTAGATTCATTTTCCCACTATTGGATCTACAAATAATAAAAACCAACCACATTCATCATGATTACCATATTTTTCATTCCCCTAGATATATATATATATATATATATTAAATATTTATAAATATATTATTGATTTATTCTTAAATCAAAAATTTTAATTTTTTTTAAAATGGAGCCATGATTAATATTAAAATGGTTTAGGAATAATTTGAGTTCCAATGTTTTGATATTAAAAATATATTTAATTATTTTAATAAAATAATATAAGATATTATTTTATGGTCACAAAATATATTTAAAATTATTGAATATGTTATACATATACTCTACAAATAACTTTAAATACATTTGTGTTGTGAATTGATATTTTTTTTTTGTGCTAGTTTGAGTTAAAAATTATATAGCTTATTAAATATATTATAATTCCATTGTAGAGTATTATGTATTTATTTATTTTAGATTCAACTAAACCTTTGTTAGAAGTATGCAAGCATTTCTTTATATATTCTAATTCCATAACTTTGTAACTATTTTAAATAAAGGTACTAATGTTTTTATAATAAAATTTTAGTATATATTATAAACATACATAAAATGAATAAATAATTATAATTACTACTTTAAATGTGTTTTACAATACAATTTAATATTTAATCATGCTGTATTTATTTTCTGTTTTGTTCTGATTTTTTTTTAGAATAACACCTATGACTTAAGAACTACTTTTAAAAAAATATTTATATATTTAAATAAATATAGATATTTTAATTTACATTCTTGATTATAAATTATAATAAAAAACTTTAAAGTTTACTTTAAAACTGGATTAAATAAAAGTTAAACACATTTGCAATATTCTTTACAATATTGGACCATAGTTTGTATTTAGTTTTAATATACATGTATATATATTTTTTAAGTTTTTAAGATATGAATATTCATAAAAATATATATGTAAATAATACAATATCTAATTTATTTATTGAATTTAAGAATCATATAATTAGTACCACATGTTAAAGATAGCTCTTTATCTACATAAAAAAACTTCAGAAGATAAAAGAAATAAAGAAAAAAGAAAAAAATATAATAAGAAAAAAAAAAGGTGGGAAATTTAAATATTTTAATAAAACTAAAAGATTTCATTTTTGAAAGATTTTTAATTAACAAATTTATCATAATATGACAATTTTATAAAATAAAAAAAATAAAAACATTCAATGAATTTATATTCTATTAAGATATTTTATTCATTAAAATATTCTATTTTTAGGAGTATAATTATTATAATATTTTTAATTCAATAGTTTTTTTTTTATAAATTTGTTTTAAAAGGTCTAAATTTATTGAATGAATTGATCTCAAAAATACTAGTTTTTTTGATATTTGCATCAAACGTTATTAATAATTAACTCAAAAAAAATATATTCTTTAAGAAAAAAATCGTTTTGTATATATTGTTTTTTTCAAAAAGTGATATAAATATATATAATATAGTTTTTAAATTTCTTTTGCATGATTTTTTGACTTTTGATTTAATGGTATCAAAGATACAAATCTCAATAATTTTGTTACAATATAATATTTTATGCGCCAAAAATCGAGAAAGAAGTTATTAATAAATAAATATTTGACATAATTATAAGAAAAAGTTAAATAAACCTAGAATTTTACTGAATTTATCCACTCATACTAACCATTATGAAGAAAAAAAAATGTAACTTTTGAATTTATTTTTCTATAACTAGATTTGAGATCAATGAAAACCAATAAAAAATTTAAAAATAAAATAAATTGTGCAATTTTTGGATCCTTGGATGGCATTTGTTTGCTCTTACTTTATCATTCCTATAATATAACTAGATTTTTTGCAGTATCTCAATATCTATCAGTTGAAATGAGAAAAAATCTGGTATATGGTTAGAAGACTTGATGGTTAACTACAAACTAATTTTGAGCGGATGTTAAGGATTATTAAAAGGGATGGTGCAGCTAGAATTTCGTCATCAACTCTTAAGTTGGTACCCAAGAGACATCAATGTGATATTTAGGCTTTTTCACTCATTTTGTGAGCTAGATTGGGCCGAATTTTTGTGAAAGTATAGAAGTTTTAGATAAGTATTTCTGTAAAATTTTTCACACCACTTGAATAATCAAATTAAGAGTTATGTCTTGCTAAAACTTGTTCATTAGGGTTAGGATTTGTAAGAGAATTTTGAAGTTACAAAATGATAAAAATGACAAAGCAATTGGAATTTATATATGCTTGTGGTTATTAAGAAGAGTTTTTTTAAGCACTTTATATTGGCATTAAAATATCTTGAGCTGGATCAAAACTCATTAGGATGTTGGATAGTTGCAAATTCAACTCTATCTTCTATAGCCAAGTGCTTGGCCTATTTTCAAACAACACAATATGTAGTACAATATCATTATGTATATATATATATATATATATATATTTATTAATTTATTTTTTTGGATTTTTACTATTTTGTATAGCTTTAGAATGTATGCATTAAATATTATATTATAAATTTATTAACCTAACAAAAAATAAGAAGTGTTTTATTATTGAAAACATTTCTAACTAATTTTAAAATGATGTGTTTTTTGTAAAAAAAGGTACCATAAAATCACGATTTTTTTACTAATATTTAAATAATTTATGATTATCTTAATAAAATCTACATAAAAATTTATAAGTTTCTTAGACATAATTTACGTACTTAATTTTTTAATATATTTAAGAATTAAAAAACTAAAAAAAAAAAACTTAATTTCTACCTCTAGTATCTTAATATTAATTTTAGAAAAAATAGATAGCATAAAATAGAAGCTATGGTGAATAATTTTTTAAAAGATTTATAATTTATTTAATTATGTAATCTTTTAACCATGATTATCCAAAATAATATGATTAATTAGTGTCTTCATTTTCTTTTATATTATTAAGCCTTGAAAAATAAATTGTTTTTTGATACATTAAGTCATTAATCATAATATTATTTTATGTATAATGATAAATTTTATTTCAAATTTTAATTATAAATATAGTTTGATTTTTATTACTGAAAAATAATTAATTTAAAAATAATTAACACCTATTTTTCAATATCTTTTTATAATGACATTTGAATAATGTTTTTTACTTGACTTGATTTATGATTCTAAAATATTACTTGATTTATAAATTATAGTTTTAAATATTCTGAAGATAAACCAAAATAATTGTTAAAATTCTAACATATTTGATAATATTTTATTGGAAATAATAATATTCATAGATGAACAATCACCAGAATTGATAAATGTATAGAAAACAATGATTTAATTTTTAAACTTTATACCTTAACGACATTTAAATCATCACATATAATATAATTGGATTTCAATTCTAAAAAACGACTTCATATCAACACCTAATTTTGCGGCAAAACACAAAAACAAATGATTGATAATTATGTGTGTTTTTTTAAGAGATCAATGCTTTTTAATGTACATGTCATCATAATAAATTTATAGTATCATGCAGTTCAATTTACTGATATCATTATTAATGAGAAAGACAATCATTCTATTTGTAAAGATTCGAAACCTCACAAATTTTATTTAATTCATTTTAAAGGAATATTCTTGACAAGGAGTGAAGCATGGGCAATATCTTGTCATCACTTTCATTTTGCATTTATTATTAAAGTTCTTGGTATTAGTGATGCACATCTCTCTGAGCAGGTATTCTCAACAGAAAATTCATAACAATCCTTCAGATCAAAAGTTAATTTTTATTGTGTAGTCAATTGATATTAATGATGCAATAATGTGCTGTGCCTTGCTCCACATATTCTATGAATACACATGTGGAATTTCATATATTATAGAAAAACCAGAAAGATCTCAAAACCATCACCTAACTTTCTTCCAATATATCTTCATTGCATTTCTTTGCACCCCATACTCCTTTTCTTTCAATTCATCTCTTTTCCCTATGAATAAATATATATATATATATATATGCACTAGAAGGAACTCATTTAGCAAGCTGAATGCTTGTCAAACTCATTTAGCTACTTAATCATTTGTGTGCTATTAAAATATTGGCTGTAGATTTTATAAAATAAATTATTGGGGATTATATATTCATTTTTAATTCCAATCTTTAATTTTTTTTGTTACAATCTTCAAAATGGGTGTTCCACATATTCACAAAAAATGAGATAAGGAGTGAAGAAGGTTACTAGTTTTGTTAACATCACATTTTTGAAGAGAAGGCTTCATATTTTATTCTTCTAATGAATTAATTCTCCAAAATGGAAGGTCCAAATTATACATACATACACACATGTACAATATATGTAATAGAACTTTTCAAACTGTTGCTCCTTGAGCTCCATGTCCTCAGAGAATAGAATTTGCACATGTTCCATGTGTTCCTAGTGTTCTTGGTGCTCCAAAGACTCCTGTGTGGGTTCATGGGCAATGTAAGCCTGCAACAATTTGGTGCTGAGAGTTTAAAAATCCAACAAAGAGCCAAAACTATTCATTGTGAGTGCCACTTTCAAAGAAATGGTAATTCTGTGGATACTTGTGTTGTGAGTACTAGTAACACAAGGAACACTGATTTTATTTGGTGCCAATCACAGATTTTAAATGGTGCTAACAACCTCAACCAATCAAGGATGATTGTGGACAGGCAACAGTCAGACACCATTTTATTTTTATACATATACAAGTAGATATGCATGTCCAGTTCTTATATAGTAATAAGAATAATAACATTATTATGAAGGCTGAGAGAGCGAGTAGGAGCCAGTAGACCCAACGGAGGCGGGCAGCCAGCCAGCCAGGCTGGCAGGACGGGCAGGGGCACTTGAGCTTTTAGAACTGACTGACTGACCCTTTCCTTCCTCTTTGTGGCCCTGCCCTACTGCGGTGCTGCCTTGCTTTGCTTTGCTGTGGCCCTGGCCCTGGCGTCGCTGTGGTGGCACCTTCGACGCAGAGTTCCTCGGGGTGGCCTGTTTGTGTTTGTGGGTTTTGTTTTGTTTGGGAGTGTCCCCCCGATTCAGCATCATGCGTCAGACTTGCTGCTTCCTTACCCACACTACTACTCTCTCATTCTTCACTACCACCCTGAACCCCTCCCTTTGCGCTATTAGCCCTTTTCCCTGCCCTGCCTCACTGAATTTTGGTCTCGCTGTCTCGTCTCTTAGATTGTCTGCTACCGCCAGTTTTTTTTTTTTTTTTTTTTTTTTTTCCTTTCCTTTCGACTCTTTTAGGAGTGATTCGGGAGGAGCCGATGTGGGTTTATTCGGAGGTTGTGTGTGAGATTTGTGGGGTGCCAAAGAGGCGGGGCGAGTCGTAGGATTGAGTGAGATTCAGATCAAGGGAGGTGGGTTATGTGGATTTGTCGAGGGATTGTGTTGAATGGGCGGTGTTTTGTGGGGTTTGTTTGATGCGGAGGCGATTTTGAGAGGTTTAAGTGGTGGTACGTCTGTGGAGAATTGAGTACTAGGGATGTGCCAGAGTTTGAGGTGCACATGCTCTGATGTTGCGGGGTGTTTTTTTTTTTTTATACTGTCGATCAGCTTATTCGATTTAAGCGCCGGTTCTTTGGGAATAGGATGAATTCTGTTTGACTGGTTGAAGGCTAGAGGGAGTGGTGGGGAGGTCCCAGGTGACGTCGACACGCCCTTGGAGTTTAAATCCGGAGGTTTTGTGTGAGGCAGGAATTATTTGTTGTTTTGGGGGAGTAGAGCGAAAGACCTCTCGGAGGTGTGTATTTGTGGCATCTTTTCCGATGGATTGCATGGCGTGCTTGCGTAGGAGACACAAAGACTCGCCGAATGGGTGCAAACCCACCAAAGTGATGCATGACGCAGGTAAGACTTAAGTGTTTCCTTGATTGTCGCTTTTCAGAAGTTGGGATCGTCTTGATTTCTCTCAGGTTTATTTCGTCATTATGAGGTATTCGGGATTGAATTGATCGTCTTGTTTAATACAGTCGGCAACCTACTCTGAGCTACACAATCACGTCATACGATTGTGGATGCAGTTTTGGATGTTATTCTCACAAGCATTTACGAACGGTGCATGCTCTTGACAGTTGGATGTGCAGTAGGATTTTGAGTCTAACTGATATTGTTGGCCTTTGAGAACACAAACCTCATCTGTGAATTCCTGAACCTGTATTAGCAATGTCAACAAGCCCATTATCGCTCTGTTCATGAAATCAGTTTATTTATTTATTTATTATTTTTAAAGTGTGTGCGAACACACATACACATACACACACACACACACACACACATAAATACATAAAAACTTGTGATTGAACGTTTCAAACTGATGACGTTTCTGTGCATTTGAGGACTATGTTGCTCTACTTGTTTTTGAGTGCTTGTAAATGAAAGTGGTATGTTTAATGATGGAAACGGTTTACTTTCGCAGATGTAACTTCTCAGCATCCAACCAATGTTCCTTTTTCCCCTAATGGATTTCAGCCAGGAAAGCCTACCGTGAATTTTACAATGGCTGAATTGAACAGAATTACTGGTAACTTTTCTGATAGTCATAAGATTGGAGAAGGTTATTTTGGAGCAGTTTACCAAGGAAGGCTCAGGGATGGTACAACGCTGGCTATCAAGCGAGCCAAGAAGGTAAAACGAGCTCAGGGAATCCGGATGCATTTCTAAGCTGTGGATTGTGGGTTTTGCCGAGATGGTGTTGATTGAATTTAGCTGAATGTTTCTTACGTTTTTATGTTATGCGTAAGACTCTTAATGACATGACACTCTCGGGTACCAGGATGCATTTGAGGCAAGAGACAGAGAATTTCAGACTGAAGTTGATATACTTGCTCAAGTGGAGCACCTGAATTTGGTGAGGCTGATAGCCTCTTTGGAGGACCAAAATGAGCGGCTTCTTGTGACTGAGTTTGTGCCGAATGGAAACCTCAGGAATCATCTCGATGGTACAGGTTGGAGATTCTATATTTATGTTGAGTCGTTTTTATCGAAGTAATTTAAGGTCTTATCTATTCAATTACTACTGTATTACAACGTGAAGGACATAGTTGCCACGCTTTTATACTTTGATGCATCTATGTTGCAGGTATACAAGGACATTGATTAGTCGAATAAAATGTTTTCTTTTCTTGACCATGGGGTGGTTCATTGCAACCAGCTTCAGATGATTATGCTTAGAATTTTGTCGTTAGAAGCTACGTGCCTACAACTGCTGGTAGTATGTCTATGCTTTAGATTATCATTTGTAAGAGGCAATGGGTGAGTTAATGCAGGTCAAGGACATGGGGTTATTCTGGACATGAGCACTCGCCTTAACATCGCCATCGATGTTGCTCAGGCTCTTGCATACCTTCACTACTACACTGGTAATTGATCTTTGACGTGGGTGATTTGGTCACGGACTCTTTCCTTCCAATGTTGACAAGTACCCGCAGGTATCGGGGGGGGGGGGGGACATTAGCTCAGTTTTGGGGTTGTAAAAACCTTGACAATTTTGTCTTAAATTACAAGATGGGATGTGAAAAATCAGTTAGGGCTTTGGCAGTAGTTAACACTTGTTCATGGTTGCCGTTGTTTGGCATTTGCAGACAAACCTATAATACATAGAGATGTCAAGTCTTCAAACATTTTAATCACTGATACCTTTCGCGCTAAGGTTGCGGATTTTGGTTTTTCTCGAGCTGGTCCATCGGGAGAAGAAGGCGCTACACATGTTTCCACCCAGGTTAAGGGCACCGCAGGGTATTTGGACCCTGAATACTTGACAACGTATCAGCTGAATGTCAAAAGTGATGTATATTCTTTTGGCATACTGCTGGTGGAACTTTTCACTGGGAGGCGCCCCATAGAGTTGACTCGTCCCAGTGATGAGCGTGTAACCGTGCGATGGGTAACATCTCTTTCCTCTCGTATAGTTCAGTAATTTTTCTACATTAAATGTTTTGGACTACTGTACGACGTTTTGAACATTGAGTGGTTCTGCTGATCTAATATGATTTGGAAATCCGTGCATCCTTCCTTTCAAATCGAAACTGAATAGGTAATTGCAGGTACACAGTAAGCTCGAATGTCGTTGTACCTCAAACTAACCTAGTTCATGCTATTGCCGCTAGTTAGAGCTATTTGTAGGTGAAGGTGGAACCTTGCTTTCTTCATTTCTGTGGGAAATTATTGTGCTGAAGAACAAAGTTATTAGTTCTCGGATATTTAAGTGCCGTTTCTCCTGCTCAGGCGCATTGTTATGGATTTTAGCTCCCGTGCACTTGAACGGGGTTAACGGAAGGGGATGATCTCATGGCTGGACTTATTCCAGGTCTTAGCTGATTGATATGGATTGTTTTCAGTCGTGCTCTTAATTGTTTTATTCCCATTCAGCTTTCTGAGATGATTACGTGCTGATTTTCAGGCGTTCAAACAATATTTGGAGGGAAGGCTAAGGGTCATTGTTGATCCAAATCTGCAAGTAACACAGGCTGACTTCAGTATTCTTGAATGTATTTTTGATCTTGCCTTTGATTGCTCAGCACCCACGAAGCACGACCGTCCGAACATGAGAGAGGTCAAGGAGAAGTTGTGGGATATTAGGAGAAAATACCAGTTGATCAAAGATCGGCAACAAGAAGGTTCTGAGGCAGGACCAGAATATGGTGACTATTACGAGAATGGCAGCCACACTCCACGGGAGAGCCGTCGGCCGCATGGTAATTCTCGAACAAACAGGCGCTCAGAAGAGTATCACAGAAGTCACTTGGGCTGAGCAACATTTGATAATCAAACAAACACGGGGATTACGAAGAAAGAGGGGCATCACGTCAACGAAAAGCTCAGAGGGCTTCTTGAGAAGCTTACGGGGGTTCGGCTATGTCTCGGCTTACAGTTCCAGTACCCAATCCCTTCATATCCCCAGTCAGACAATCTGAGAATTGCCGAACTTAAAAAATACCTTTTTGTTTTGATTAAAACTGGCTGTTTACCGTACCCTGAAAGCAGGTCCAGCTCTAACCTGCCGAATATTTACTTTATTTGGACTCTCAGAGTATCGTTTATGACGAGCGCTAAATGCCATGGCTCTCAGTGTGACGGTTCATGCCTCTGAATGGATCGGATTCTTCACGCTTCGTGAATCAGAAGATGACAGACTTGAGGTATATCTCGTTGGACTTCTTCAACCCTATTGAACCATCAAATTTGCGTATTGATCAGATTGATTCTCGTTGTTAGCAAGTCACGCGAGCCGCATCTGCCACGATGGCTTCTCTTGCATAGTTGGAAGTTGTAATACATTCAAAGTGTATTCGCGCGGCATGTTCTGTGACAGGGAGGCAATGTTGTGAAGAAGACCAAGGTTCAGGGATAATTTTCGCTCTAATCAATTTTTCTTCTGATCTCTTCTAAGGGCTCAGGTACGATTCCGGACATTGGTTTGGAGGGACCAGGTTTTAGACAAAACCATGCTGGTACTTTTGATGTTCCGCGTCAAAGGTTTGTCTCCCCTTTTTCGCCGAATTCTGGCAGGGGTGTCAGTTCCCAGAGCCAAGATTAAGACAGTTTGTTACGGTATTTCAGGATATATCCGCCATTTTTTACTACTTGGTTTCAGACTCGAGTATTGTAGATTGTCGAGTAATTGCCCAGTAGCACAAATTGATCTATATATGTTTCATGTACATATTCTAAAATTGGGTATTTCTGAGACCTAATTTTATTTTCCGAAGCGTAAGTGATAAATGCCCTCAGTCTGATTTACGTGCTAAGATATATGAATACGAATTTAAATTTCTGACTACTTATGAATCCAGTGAGGTGCAACCAAAGAGATTCACTAGGCAGTGGTGTCAGGTGTGCAGTACTCTTCAATGAACTTTTAGATCAGTATCTTCTTTTGGGATTTTTGTGTCTAATCACTGTCTTAAGTATGCATTATGTAAACATTTTATCTCCAAAAATTTAATTATTTGAAGTGCTGGAATCAAATGCAGTCCTTGAACTTAAGAAATATTAGTAGTCACAAGCCGAGTTGAATCTCTTGAAAATTCTTAGATCCAGCACCAAGAGAGTCCCTTGAGTCAAGACGAAGCTTTATTTGTAGTCCACTGAATAGGGTGAGGCTGCAACATCGAACAATTTTGGCAACTTGATTCGGATCCAATTAATGCAATTATACATTTGAGCGGAATGTTTCAATGCATTGCTGAGCATTCAGAGCTGGTCACATGGGCCTGCGAATACGAAAAGCTTCCCAAACATTTATTATCTCTCACGATTATGGATTGGATTTAGTTCTGTTGAAGAATGGTAACCTAGCTTCAAATGTTATGATAGCTTCTGAACCATACAGGTGCATATTATGTGCTTTAGTGTAACATTGAAGTACGGAGGTGCATATTATATCTTTTAGTATAACTTTGAAGCTTGATTTTTAAGTGGGAGAATTGAAGCCTTATAGAGAAACTACCTCAAAGTCTAAAATTGATATTTTGATGCAGGGAAGTAATGTCCTCTAAAGAAGATAACTTCAATTAAAAAGTATAATGTGACAATCTTTAACAAATTTGGTGCACAGAACAATTACCTATTGGAATTCAAGATGATATATATATATATATATATATATATATGATTTTTTTTTTTTTTTTTTTTTTTTTTATTTTCTGAACATTTCTGAACAAATTTTAAGAAATTGTAAATGTCACAAGCTTTTCATAGTACTATAAAGACACGAAAATTTGTTGTAAGGGGTTTGCAAAATCATAGAGAATAGTTTGTAATATTTATGAGGATAAGAGCTAATTCTCATTTTTTTTATTTTTTATTTTTTTTATTTTATTTTAAATACAAGTTCTTTGCATACAAAATAGAAGAAAGCAAAGGTACATTGATTTGGATCAATATAATCAAGGCCCTTGTAAATCAACTCATGGTCATGGATGCTTTTGTTCATAGATTTGCCAAATTCTTATAAAAACTTGATTGATGCATTGAAGTTCATATTCATGAAGAATTTTACAGTCATATGTTATAATAATATTGTATAATGAAGTAGTTAGGTAAAAAGAAAGAAGTCCTAAATCACAAAGTTATTAATATTAATATCACATTAATATTTTATTAATATTACAATTGAGTAAAAGAAATTTCTTTAATACATGTTTTGGTATAAAAATACATTATTTTTATATTCAAATAGATAATTGATAATAACCACAAAGTATATGATCTTTTACAAAAATGTATTTTACATAAAAAATAATGGTATAGTTGAAACCTTGAACATAAATTTTATTAATGTGGGAGTTGAAATGAAGAATAGAAAGAACAAGATAATATTTAAAAATGTTTTTAATATGTCTGCATTTCAAAAAAAATCATTTTTTTAATCTGAAACTTTTGTTTGGAGATCGCAAAATATCATTTATTTAAAAAAATTATTTAATCATATATGTTAGAATAAAATAATTTAAAAATTGATATTTCTTTAAAAAAAACTATAAATGTCTATATTAGTTAGTCAAATAGAAAATACTATAAATATAATCTTAATTTAAAATACTTTAATATCTTTGTATTTGGCAATAACCATTCTAATTAATTTTTGTTTCATAACAATATTTCTCATCTCACTTGGATTCTTTTCTTATTTTGTATTGAGCATGAATATATTGTCTTTTAAGAGGTTTGTTTAGATTTATATGTGATGAGACATTCTCAAGGCTAAAAGTAAGTACTATGAGAAGTTTAAGATGTTTGAAGTGGTGAGGAGAAGAAATTAGAATATAATAATAAAGTACCAATATTAAACAATGGAGGTGGACTTTCATCTAAAATATTTGATAAATGTTTTAAAGAAATATAATAATATAAAATATGCTTTGATATTTTATATTGTATATAGTAAGAAGATTACAACATTATAAAATGGAAATAATGATATTAGAAGCATGTTATTTTAGACATAAATTAAAAATAATTATTAAAATATAACCTTAAAGATTTCTTATGGGTGATTAGTTTTTAAAAAATAAACCATTTAGTACAAAAAGTCAAGTCACTTCTTAAAAAATGTCAAATTTTAATTTAGAATTTTGATTTGAAAAAACTATTATAATGAGTTATATTAAAATGATTACATCAATAGTTATATGTAAATTTCAATGGTTAACACATCACACCCAAATGAATTTCCAATTGTAGATTCATTCACCGTTTCATAACGTACATCTTAACAACATCATTTGCCATGAAAGGCATAGTTGCAAGTATGGTTTTACAGATCATCATGAATTTCATCAGCGGGAACTCCTTCCTCACTAAAATCTACTGAAATGTATCTACACTGCCATATACAAGAGAGAATAAAACGTCGTAGCTAAAAAAATCGAAAACTTGCTGGACTTGAGCAGGCTGTACCACTGCACTTCCGTGAGGGTTAGATTCCTCAATAGATTGGTAATGCTTTCCAAATCATTAAAATTTTGCTGCATCTTATTTGTCTACAAAGGATGGGTAGTACCTCTGTAACGCACAACTAACGTCGCTGGAAGTTAAGGAACTTGATGGAGAACGCAAATACAAGCCAGAAGACAGCACAGAAACCTATCAGAACAGCAGCACAAACTCCAACCATGGAGTGTTTGTAGCCGAAATAAGAATGCAGGTAATCTTGCACACTGGAGTTGGTGAAACCCGGGGCCTCGAAGGTCGTAGTAACATCACCAAGTTGTGACACAATTAGACCATAGAGAGTCCATGCCACAGGACTTAGATAATAATACCAGAACCACCACACCGGCATACTCTGCATAGACAACCAGTTATTCGTTATTAAGCTGCTGTATATGAATCTGTTGAGGCATACGTACAAGAGAACAGAGGAACTGGTAATAAATTGAATCAAATCCTACATAAGGCTCCTTTAATGCTGTTATATACAAAACCATTTGAAGATAAATGTGGTTGACACTCACAGGACGGGGAATTAGAAACCCAGAGAAGAGATTCCAGATGGAGTAAAACGCAGATGAAATGACAGCTGCTAACTGCTGTGAGGGTGTCAAACCAACTGCCATCATCCCGTAAAATGTGAAATACAAGAACGTCAAGAACATGAACAAGAGATACCAAAAAAACTTGGCTGCAAAAACCACAAAAATATTAGGATTAGAAAGTTTTGCGAAATTTAAATTTGCTCAAATACGAAACTGTTGTCATTCAGACAATGTAAAATAAATCTGACTTCGAGATAATTGACGATTGAAGTGCGGAGATTATAAAAAACAGCGAATAAAAGATCATCTTGGCGAAATTGCTCTTACCTGCAGTCCATTCGAACTGGATCATTGAGTATGTAATGAGCCCATATAGTAAAGTTTGAGCCAGAATGTAAGGAATTTCAATTAGACCCTGTACAAAGATGCACATCGAATTTTACTGTAAAAAGCAAATAATTAAAGCCTGGTGTTCACAGAATTCAGGTGTTGCAAACATAGACTGAAATAAATACCTTCAACCATGAAAACATACGCTGCCAAAGGTTGCGCAAAATAGTGGTAGCTAACGAAAGATACGTTAAAACAACAAATTCTTACAATTTTTTTTGTATAATTCAATCTAATTTCACCCATTTAAATAAATTTATTACGCTGGAATTAACAAAATAATGATGAGTTAAATTAGACCGTTGAGCCACGGCCAAACATACCTGCGCAAAGGCATAAGGCAAGGGTGAATACATGCCAGCTGCCCGTTCCCTGTAAAATACTGATCTCTCCACTGCTACAATAGGTTGCACACTGGAAGCGTTGTTTACTCCCAAAAATAATACAGCAGCATATAACGCCCCCATAACGTTAAAGATATCCTGTTGTGTATCCCTGAAAAACATATTACAAATTTACTTCAGTTTTAAGACGTATATTTTCAAAAATAGAAAAAAAATGCTGAAGTCGATGTGGACATTAGAATTCAGATTTTGACGTTGCTTATGTTCGCGTTTGTTCCAGTTCAACTAGGGGCAGAAAGCATCCGGCGCATTATACAATTTGTGGTGATTATTTACCTCCTCGAGCCGAGACTCCAAAAAACTGACCCAAAGATCAATGCACAGATGGCTGTGAAGAAAAAGCGCACAGCGTTATAATAAGGACTGCGCCAATATGTCAAGTTTTGCTTCCATAAACACGCTTTGAACTGTGTCCAAGAAGATCGTGAGAATTGAGTCGAGAACTCGAGGTCATGAGATCCAGCTTTGGGGACACTTAACCTCGTTATCATCTCTTCATTTTGCCTACAGGGTACATGCCGACCGAGCTATGAATTAATACAAATTCTCAAAAAAAATTCTCATATCATGCGTAAACTTTACTATGTTATTTAAAATTCAACAGACGAAGTACGTATTCCATACCGAAACAGATTCGAATCTCTGTAGATGTCTGCAAAATCTTTGCCAGTGCGCAACTCTTCTCCTGAAGTTGTGACTTCCAGCATCCATGTAGCTGGATTATACCCTTCTTTGATGGGAGGAGTTCCCTCAATGGCCTACTCCATAAGAACAAATTGCACGAATAAATTCAACAATCACTGCTATCCGATAACATGGTATTGGAAATAGCTCCCAAATGATATTGTAGAACACATTTGGAACATGTCATCAGTAAAAACCAAAAATAAGTAATCTTAAATGACCCAAATCGTTTTACACTTGCAACAGATTATCGACTAGTACCTGGAAGTATTCAACCAATTTTTTTGATTGTGGACCAAGTTGCCCAGCGTACACTGTTTGTCCACCACGTTTCAAAAGTAGAAGCTGCAGGCAGTAGTAAAAAAAAATATAATGCCGTTAAAGCACCTCATCAGCATGAAAAAACAAGGTAATGGAATTTATCTACAGTGTGGTGGACATACACGAAGTCGATATTGGAGAATCGCACATCATCAAACAGAGTAAGATCTAAAACGAAATGTATTATAAACGAGAAAAAAATACCTCATCAAATGCCTCAAAAATGTCTATGCTAGGCTGATGAATGGTGCAAACGACTGTCCTCCCTGTATCCACTGTGTTTCGAACAGTGCGCATTACGATTGCTGCTGCACGGGCATCCAATCCTGACGTAGGTTCATCCATAAAGATAATGGACGGGTTGGCAACTAGTTCAACGGCAATAGTCAGGCGCTTCCGTTGTTCTGTCGAAAGTCCAGTGCTACCAGGGAGTCCTACAAGAGATTGTCTTAAGCTGTTCAACTCGACCAACTCCATGACTTCCTCCACGAAGAACTGTATGAGTAAAGCACAATGAATTCAACTTTTTGTCAGTAGTGACCAATGAATTCGATAGACAGAAGTTGATGACATTGATAATGTACATTGGCTTGTATGAACAGGTTACAAGAAAGAATAATACCGTTTAAGTCATAAAATAGTTTTTAATTGGAGGGTCATGAACTCATAGAAAATTGCGTTTTAGTTTACAGAACAAAAATGGAAGAGCAAAGGAAGTTCTACTCACCTTTCGAGTTTCAGGATCAACGTCCTTAGGTAGCCGAAGCCAAGATGAGTATGCTAATGATTCGTAAACGGTCACTTGTGGAGAATGAATATCGGTCTGCTCTACATAGCCTGATATACGTGCAAATGTTTCCTGAATCTTGGGATACCCAGACACCCTTATGTCTCCTTCAATGTATCCTCCCGTTTTCCTTCCAGCAAGGACGTCCATTAGCGTAGTCTTTCCCGCTCCAGATACACCCATTAGCGCAGTCAGTACACCAGGCCTGAACGCTCCACTTACATTCCGTAGCAGCTGGAGCCTGTCAGAAGTAACTCCTTGGCCTTTCATATTCTGCACAACACATTTGAACTCATTGATGATTTTTTGCTTCAACGGGATCCATTGGCTACAAAAAATTCTTCATTCCCCCCCTTTGTTAGTTCGGGTGAAGAGTGTCGGCTACGTGGTCACACGAATCAACGTAATAGATCATGCTGTCAGACCATCCTGTGGCAAATTGGAGCTGAAAAGTATGTACTTACAGAGGGCATATCAACATAGTAATTGACGTTGTGGAAAGTCAACGCCAAAGGTTCGAAAGGCAGGATCATCCCTTTCCTTCCCTGGTTTCCTTTCTTAAGAGTTGTAATATCAACTGCCGTTTCAGGAGGTACACCATCATGATGCTCATGAGAAAATTCTTTCATTTGCACTGATGGAAAATGGAAAAATAAATTGTTAGTACTTGTCTAAAACCTCCTTTTCATGTCCACTATTAAATCCGAATTTAGAAATATTTCGAGGTGAAGTGAAAAACTGAAAAGTGGCTTTGTGTGTATGTCATGAATGTGTCAAATAAATGACTTACATCCATTTTAGGTTCATTCAATATACTTGGTGTGTGGTGTAGGGAATCTGCACTGGAGTGGTTCTAAAAGAACTATTCCTAAGTTTTTGAAAAGACGAGCTTCTCTTACTCACCTGATTGATGGCCATTGTGACCTGAATTACCGTCACGCCTACTCAAACTCTTCCTTCTAGAAGAAATTGCACGTCCTTCAATTTTTTCTTTGATAGTATCCTCAGCCACCGTGGCTTGAGGCTTGCCAATGGCTGCTCAACATCAAAAGATCCATGTTAATAATTTAATGTCATCGCACAAAGAAAGACTTGAGAGGCTAAAAGATGTTCTTTCAATTTCTGAAAAATGCTTTACCAAAACAAATAGTCGAATATGAATGTGCAAGGAACTGAAATGATTCACTTACGGCTCAAATGCTGTAAAGCGAAGGTCACCAATATATTGAAAAGCACGATATAACCGACAAGAGCGGCAAGACCAATCCAATACCAGTACCATCGAGTATGTATCCCCCGACTCTTTAGGATGCTCAAATACAGTGGTTGTCCTGTGAGTTGGCTAAGCTGCAACACCATCAAAATCGAAGAATGTTACAAAACACTGAAACGAATTAACATATTACAGAAACAACAATCGCTTCTGTCCCCATTTGTGCAAATGGAATGCACGAGTGAAATTCGAAATACTTTAATGTGGGTCGAACCAAAGAGGGAGTGGTAACAACACGCATACTGTGGAATATGTTTCTCAAGAACAAAAACATTCTCACAACTCCAAGGCGCACGCCTGAAACCCTACAAAGTAATTATCTAAAATGACAACACTGACCTTTTGCCATCGAGGGGCAAGAAACTCGTTAACGGCAATTGCATTTTGTGCATAAGAGAGAGGAGAAATCCAATACCCCCATATCCACCAAGGATGTATGCTTTCTGCATCATGAGTAACAATATCATCAGATGGAATCAAGAAATAAAATTAAGTTCTCGGTCAGGCAGTAAATTTTATTTTAGATGCAGGCACTCCCATCTTGAGAATTAGCTGCTGGGTGGAAATATACCTGGGAAATCCTTTCAGAGATTATTCAAATCCAAAACCAATGACAACCTCAATCCACTTACTGAATATAGCTAATGTATTCAACTTGAGTGAATACAAATGAACCAGACAATGAAATATTTTCCACAGAAATAAGCAACTTACGCTTTGCGAGAATGAAGCCTCCCAGTACAAATACAACCACCAGGGCAAATGAACCAAACGTATTAGCAATCACCATACTGCGACCTAGTGCGCCTATGAGTCGGAAAAGAGCGATTGCCATTTGGTGCATAAGGAATAGTAGTAGTATGTAACGAAAGAATCTGCCAATATTTACCGATCTTTTATCAATCCAGTTAAGAAAAAAGAAAAAAGAAAAAAAACCTCGAGATAAGGCATCTTCAGTTTGGAACCCCGTTAAAAATAATGTACATACAAACATACTGGGATTTACAAAAACATGCACAAAAAGAAACTAGAAACACTTCACAACGCGTAGCAAGAGACATGGATCTTCAAAATTGTACAGACAAACAAGGATAAGCAAGTCACAAGATAAATACTCATCTACAAACAGCAAAAGAGTTGCTACTGCAATATGAAGGGCGTAGAATTGGCACCTGCCCGCCTCTGGGGTGAGCCCTATAATGTAGTAGACGATACATGACCATATCAGTGATTCAATCACTGAGTAAGGTAGACGCAATATAAAGCTAGGAACCGAAAATGCCCAACCGGGGTAGAAGAGGTTATCCCGTTGCTTGTAGAAAACAGGTAGTCTTGCCACAGTGATGGACATTTCTGAAAACCCGTTGAACATCATGTGCACAAGTGCAAAGAAGAGTGTGCTCAGATACAGTGTCCCGTATAATTCATTGCTTGGATGCAACTCTGTTCGGAAAAAAAGAGTTGAAGCAAGGAGTGCTACAAAGGCCACCTACAACATAGGACAATGTTTTCAGTCAGACTTACATTGTCATTTCCCGAGTTTGTTAGTTGACAACCCCAAGTTGAAAACAGGTATAGGTTCTATTGATGAGGATGTTGACTCACATTCCCTGAACACGAACACGCGAGGCAATATATAGGCCATATCTAGGTAATGCAGAAGGGACCAAGATTCGAGTCAAGAATCCTCACCTGACAGGTTCGGAATATGTATAAGAACCTATTGCGCTTGATGAGCAACAGCTCCCTCTCTAAACAGGCTTTAAAGAGATCCCATTTGGATAATGCAAATTTAGATTCAACAAGAGCTGCTGGATGGCTTTGAGATTTGTCGAAAGGTGTGGCAAGTTGCTCTTCCAACTCCTTGCCAACACGATAATCTCTAAATGCGTCTGCAATTTCAGCCACAGGTATATATCGATACGGCCTTCGTTCGTCGTGCCAATACTGTTCCTGATCCTTCTTCGACGTGACCTGCACACTTCATCGCGTCTAAAATCAATAACCGTAGAACGCTAGTTGAGGTCATTCTTTCCAATATGACCTCATCATTCAGGGCTGACCAATCATGTTTAGCATAATGACCTGAAAAATCTAAAACTTAACTAAAATAAAACAAAATAAATATTAATGTTAATATATGACTTTTCAATTATAACTGAATTAGAAATCTGGTCAACATTACCTCTTGAAGGAAATCTGCAACTCCTTTTCGAGGCGGCAGTTTGAACCCAACGGACTCGAAAAACTCTAATATATCTTCTCTTGGCCCAAGATAAACAATGTGACCTTCAGCTAGTAAACAAATATCGTCAAACAACTCAAAGGTCTCTGGTGCAGGCTGAAGGAGAGCCATTAAAACAGTCCCGTCCATCAGATGCACAAAATTTCGGGTGCATTTCACAATCTGGAACGTAGTTGAGCTGTCCAAACCAGTGGAAATTTCATCCATGAACAAAGTCTTCTTTGGACCAACCACCATCTCACCTGCATGAAAAATTACTCCATATTAAGGGAAGCACACTGTGCTGAACAATTTAATGATTACTGAATGCTTGCCAAGACACTCGATGCAACGTCCCACTGTAGCATCTGCTAATAACTCGTAACACTAAGCTAAGTCTCATGAGAGACTTTCAAATTATCAAATTTCAGATGTTTTTCTTCGAACGACAAACGCTACCTTAGAATGAAGAACTTCAAAGATCTCAAAGGAATCACAGGATATGGAGTACACGCAAACTCAAACAGCCAGGAAATTCATTCGTTGAGTCGAAACTAACACCAACATGCTTACGCTGGCTCGCATATTAACAAAAAAAATAATTGTTGAACAGTGATAAGACAACTTCATGTTCATGGTTGCTTTACCTGTTGTCACACGTTTCTTTTGTCCTCCGGAAATACCACGAAGCATTTCATTGCCAACAACAGTGTCGGCACATGTTTCAAGGCCCAGAATCTTCATGATGTAATCTGTTGACAGACTATGTTTCTTCCCCTCAACAGCAGTAGCCTAATAAGACGAACATGCCAAGTATGAATAATTCAGTTTTACAATCTGAAGAAACACTCAATCCAAAATACTGCAGCCTATCATGAACAAAAGGTTAAGCTCACCTTCATGTAAGCATCTATATCTGGATCAGGACGAATGTTGGCTTCCTTCTCACGACGAGCAAGCTCCAGAAGCATATCTACAAAACCGCGACGACAACAAGGATCTCTTCAAGACTTTAGTCGTCAAGTTCATGATTGAATCCATGATATTGTTAAAACGGAATGCGGAAAATTGAAGACACTTGAAGCACAAAATGCAGCAGAATGTTGCAGCACGAGGTTGTTTCAGGCTACAAACTAAGCGTTGAAGAATAGCGTTGATAAATTCAGCCCAGTTGTCAACATCGAATATGGTGACACTTAAGCACATAATCTCAAGGAACGCTTCTGCAGCACTAGGTCCCAACTTCAAAGTTCCAGAATAATCAAGTGATGAGCACGGACCGTATTTGTAGCCAACACCCTGACATCGTGCTGCAAAATCCAACGTTTCTCTTACAGTAAGCTCCCCAATGTGGTTGTCAGTTTGGCTAATGTATGATGACGTTCTTTGAGCAACGAATTCATCAAAAGTATGTCCATTGTAGGTTATCCTGCCCGATGTCTGCATTGCAAGGAGTTCAAAATGAGTGCTTCATATAAAGTTTCGGCACGGTGACAACACATTCGAATTATAAAAATCACTTACCGTTACAAATTGTAAATTTACAACCGGAACTGAAAGAACATGCAACTGGTATATTAATTAACCTCAATCAACTTGGTAAGGACAGCTCAACCATATTATTCTTCAATGCTACCATTCTATCTGTGCAAATATGTGACAACTCCCACAAAAAACTCAAGAATCACCCCAAGTATTCCTCTGCTCTTAATTGATCTCTTGGTAAGAAAGCTGTGAGACTATTTCGTCTTTAGAGAACAAAAGTATGCTACAAGAGTCGTTCTGGTTCTTGCACCCGCGATAGAATCTTCACTTCTACATGGCAAGATTCAACTGACTAATGAGGCAAAGCACACTAGGTTGTAGCATGTGCAACCAGTTGGCACAAAAAGCAGCCGTTGAAATAATCTAATAGACTAATTAAAACCTGTTGTCAGTTTTTCATTCACTCTTTTGAACTCTATAGGTTCGTAGATTATGGAACGTCGAAAACGCGTCTTCAGATATCTAAACAGAATTGACAGCGTAAGTAATTCGAGAACGGAGTCGGAAAATAAATATGTTCGGCTGCAACTTACCCTCAAGGATTTGTTAAGCTTCCCAGCCAGAGCTAGTAGCAATGTTGTCTTGCCAGCACCTGGAGGTCCTAGTAGTAGAGTCATCCTAAAAACAGAGAAAATACCATTTGAAATTAATATATCAGAATAAGGAAAAGGAATTGTATGCAGCAACAGCCAGTCTTACACATTCTATCGAGTATCAAAGAAGAATATGCTTCCCAACTCATTGAGTCAATGCAGTTGAGACACAGCGCAAAATATTAGAATGCTGCATTGGAATATACTACAAAGAGAATGGTCTCAGCATGGCAATAACAAATGAAAAGATTATTTGTCCCCTAAGTCCTGTAACCGAGATGTGTAACGAACAAAAACTGTATCTGTACCTGCCAGGTCTAATGATGCCACTGACATCATGCAAAATCGGCAAGTCTCGCTTATTCGGTGGTAAAACATGACAAAAAGACAGCAGACCCTGCATAGAAGCAGAAGCGAATGGGACATCAGGTAGTCAGAAACCTTAGAACTCTTCCTCGGCTTAATCTGCGCTGAAAATTGCAAAGCATAAGCAAAATTCTGCGAAAATAAACCAAGAAACCAGATACCTCCACAATATTTCGCGTGAAATTGGTTAAACTTGGCAACGCCCGACTTCCGACATAGACATCCGCGTTCACAAACAAATCTTCAAATCGAACTTCAACTGAAGGCAATTGTATGCCCACTCTGAAGATACAAATAACAGGCAGTGAGAAAATGATACTAAGAAAATGATACTCTTGTCTGCAAACGGAATGTATTCGCTGTACTAAACATTTCCTTCGAAAATCTGAAAGTACTCACTCATGTCTAGAAGGAAGCTTTGTACCATAACTTCATCCCGAGCCTTACAAGAAATTCTAAATTCATAACCATTTCTCAACGTGAGCTTGTCCAGAATATATTTGACGAAATTTTCAAAAGACCCGAAGTCTATACAGATTTGATTCGTTGATTATATGTGATCGACATAATCTCAATAATTCGTCACCAGATGCGTGCTGTTGTAATAATTAAACTGGACATACCAAAAAAATCCTCAACACTGAAGAAACTGAGAGTCATTGTCCTAACCTGTGAAGACGTTCCTTGACCTTCAGAAGAAAACGCTCATTATCCTGTTCGCCAGTAGCCAAAGCCTTTTCAACGAGACTTGCTCTCTGTCCTTTACCTAGGCGCCTCACATCAGTTATTCCACGGGCCTCTTGCCCTTCAGCATCAAGAATTGCGGTTCGCAGGCGGTGGTATGTAGGTAACTTCTCAAGCGCAGCCCATTCTAGCTCCTGTTCATCGTCCGTGTCCCGACGATGACTGCTAGAACTTTGAAAGGGAACGCGACCGCTCCCGGTATCGGACCACTTCCTCGACCCTCCATGCTTTTTTTCAAACCAAATGTCCCCTTCGGGAACTGTAGATTCTGCCATCTCCTAATCCTCGCACCAGCTCCTTCAATTCACTTCCTGCACTCCTGAATTACGACTTCCACCTCTCAATTCCTTCGTGGACTTCCACGACATCCGCCACCTGTGCAGACCTCTACAATGAACGCTTTCTTGACTCTACAATCACAGTGCCAGACTCCTAATTTATACCAAGAACGCAACCGATTCCGGACAGCATTTCAGAGGCAACATCTGACGAAGAAGACCATGCATCTCCTGAAATCTCGACAAGGCGAGTCCACGAGAAACTGCAGAGGAAACATCGCAGCAACACAACCCTCACGTCAATTAAAATTCGAAGGGGTGGCAGAAGAAGCAGGAGTGACAGCGAAGTAGACAACAATAGGCGGGGACCGAGATTCCCCCTTCGAGTTCTCTCTCGTGCAAAAGGTGAATTCGTTCGGTCCAGGGAAAAGGTGACATGGTGACAGAGGAGTTCAAAGGGGGATGGAGGCCAATCCGCATCTCACTATCGTTACTTTACCAGCAGCCATTCTCGCCGTGCCGTGTGTGCCGAAGTTGCAGTTCGCGAGCCGCTTTCCTGACATGTAAATGAAACCTCGCCTCGTCCTTCACGAGACGCAGATCTTCGCTCTGGAATGTGAGTCCTTTCTAAGTAGGCTCGTCGGTCCATCGAAAAAGTAGTGGATGGCAATGTTCAATTGCTTTGCTCATTGACGGATGTACTACTTCGGGATGGACGAGGCACATTTTTCTATCCAATGTCACAGTATAAATTGTCAAGTGTAAGAAGGTAAGAAAATGTGAATGTCTATTAGTGATAATTTGGTCAAGTAATCTCAACAATCTAATTATAATCCAAGAAATTGTGGGTTCGAGTTCCACATCCATCACAAAATCATTAGTTTATTTAATTATTCTATTACTAAAAATAGACTGGTGTATTGGTTCTTCCCATGGCCTCTCCTTCGTTTTTTTCTCCATTGCAAAGCAAAGAATCCAAAACACTTACTAATTGTTATTGCAACCAAAAAGTGAATAAATATAGTAGTGGAAAACAGTGAGTCGTTGTTTCATAACATAAATTAATTCCCATCATCAACAAACTGTAAAGGCCTCATATCATGCAGTTTGGTGCACAACCTCGAAGCAATGGACGGATGAATGAAGAAAGGTGTAGATGAACGTATCCGTTGATGTGATTTGTATGGATGATAAATCGAAAGCGGTAAGATACGCGGGTAACACGGACCGGGGAGGGCGTGCGATCGACCGGGAGCTGGCAGTGTCCCAGTTGAGAAAAGTCTGACGACATCACATGACGCCCACTCGTGACGTCACCATTCTGGCAACTCGTCCCATAATAATGGCTGGCTCAATTGGCATCGCTGGTGGAGACGACTCGCGTCGCGTGCAGGAGGGAGCCCGTGAATGGTCCCAAAGGTGGTGGTTTTTTGCTATGGAAGTTTGTAGTATTGGGCTTTTTGTATTGTTGCCGACCATGTGGCTACTGAAGATTCAGCGAGGTGTGCTTCTGGCTGCCACTGTATTTGAGAGCACATGCAGGAAGGAATCCACTGTAGGAGTAGCAGAGCGGTAGCCTGTTGTTGTTATTGCTGTTTCATAATACAGTGCTGCTCTCCGACAACTCCACTTATCTCCCCATTTCGCTCATTACAGTGCCTCTTCTAGAAGAACTTAATTACGCTATTCAAGGATTTGCGTGTACGATCTGTATAAGTGGTAGAAACCGGGCACTCTCCGGTCCAGGAGTATGGCGATATACCAGCTCCTTTTCTGTTCTTTTTTTACTTCGGAAGTGCAGATTTTGTACAAACAAACACACTCTGACATCCCTTACTGGGAAAGAAAAAGAAAGAGATGACTGAAAATGAGCGACTGCGGTGCCAGATAGATCCATGTATCAAAAACTCACAAAATCAAATATTGTACATCAGAAGCACGCTGCTTGAAGAAACAAGAGATTACAAACACAGTATTTCAGGTTATTGGGGCGATTGCCCACTTCGAGATGAAAGTAGGAAAAATCCGATGCTTTGTAGTAAATGAATCGTTTCCAATGGGTGCTTAAATCTTGTCATTGGTTGATGCCAACCAACGGTAGTGTAAATACTGGCTAAAATATCAATGGAATTGTCAGGTTTCTCGAATTGCAGAATCGCCACTCTTATGTGTCTTAGCATGCTCCTTCAAATACTCCTTGCTGTGCATTTCTGTCAATCTGTTCATAAGTTGAGCTATCGTCAAACCAGGATCACCAACCTAAAGAAGTGAATGCGAGCGATGAAAGCTAAACTTTCCAGTATGTCGATTGATAATATATTATCTCAACGAACTGCAACAACAAAAGTATAAATGAAGAACCCAGACCTGCTAATGGTGCGATCCTTAGCAAACCCCAGTTCGTCGTCTACCAGCAAGTCTGCATCACTGTGACGGACAGAGCGAGTATCACTTTTTTTAGGAGCATCTGCTCGGGTCACTACCTTAGCGAAGAGCTCTTGTGGAGATCCTTCTGCTGAGCACATAAATCGCGTCCTGTGGTCATACATTACCTGTGTCCACTCCGAAAAGACAGTCTGACATGGAGAAAACTTGCAAAGTAACCGGATACTAAGTTTTACTTCATACACTTTCGAACATCAACAGTGTGCTGTGAAACCACATTGAATGATCAATCACAACATCAGCTAGAAAACTATCATGGCCTCGCCTTTCTTGCCAACAAACTCCAACTCATTGCATGAGGCAAACCATAGTTTTTCATTTTTTAAGGTTCCGAATTACAGATTCTGGGCTTTTTCCATTAGCAAGACAATTGAGTCACTAAATCATAATTTTCCAATTACAAGGATCGGCAAATACTAGAAATTATCCTTCGTTTTCTCAGCGTTCTGCTCAAAATTAGATTCTGACAATGGGGGAAATTGAAACCAACTTACATCCACTAGAGTAACAAAACGGTAAGCAGAAGATCGATTGTGTGAACCAAATATAGGGACGCTGTCTAACGCCAACGTGTGGAAGTTTTCTGTATCCATGTCACACGAAGAGCTTAGTTTTTCGTAAAATTAGCTACAATCTAAAAATAATAATAATAATACTTAGTGGCTTACAACAACGTCTCTAACGAAAAATAATGTGAACTTAAGAACGAATCTTATCAAACCCATGCTCATCGAATTGTTACCAAGAAGTTAACAAGGAGCACTCACTGAAGAGTCCGAAGAAATCAGCAGCGCCCAAAGGCATCTCACATAATTCGTGAAACTGGAACATGGAACAACCTGCGCCAGCAAGAGGGACCTGTGAACATGCCTCGTCAGGAAATTCGAAAGAGGAAAAAAAAAAAAAAAAAAAAAAAAAAAAAAAAAAACACACACACACACTTTTGGAATTCGCATGAACAGAGGAGGATTTTTTTTTTTCGTCCCACCCACCAAAAGTTCACACCAAAAATTACTATCGATTATCCACTAGATTGTAAGAAAACACCGAACAAAAGCTATGCCAGTTTCAACTCTTTTACACACTAAAGCATTTCAAAATGATATCCTCGAATACTCACGGAGACGCTCTTTCCAACTGTACCTACTTCCATGGTCCTGTGTTCCAACCAACTGCCACACAGGTACGAAGGGGAAAGACACGCAGCATCCCTTTTGTAACACAGATGTGAGGCATAACAAACATAACCCGAGCTCCACAGTCACACCTTTAACTTTCGACCCATGATGACCTCCACAATCGTTGGTTTGGTCTCCTCTCCATCTAACTCTGCTAGAAATAACTTCCTCAGAGTTTCAGAGGCTCCAGGACCCATAAAATAAAATCCAGTTTCAGCCTGTTCATTTCATGCAGAAAAAAATTAAAATAGGGTTCACATAGTAAGTAGCAAAGCAAACATAAATATGTCCTATCAGATTTTCAAGTACCTGGTTTTCTGATAAGCAACTTAAAAGGTAAGAAAGGCGTATCAATAAGATAAAGTGAGAAGGAATCACGATCACACAACACGGATGAGAAGCGTAAGAGGCTTTCACTCTTACAGCGGTCAATCTTCGATAATCTGTGGAAGAGCCAATTTCATGTATCACACATCGTTTCTGAAAAATTCAGAGAAGTCTTTTAGCCACCCGTCGCCAAAAATTGTAGTAATCACAAATAAAATTAAAATCAACTGCACTAAAATTGGTAAACGTTTGTTGGTAAGTGTTTCATACTTTGAGCGTCGCGATAAATGGCAGAAATAAATCCCGTTGCAAACCACCCTCGTAAAGCTTATCTGGTGCCCTATTTGATGTCGATACCATAACCTGCAGCGTTAAATTTAGATTTCAGCGCTATTGCTCAAGTCCAACAGCTCCAAACGTTCAGCGTTGGAAAATAGGAAAGCCAAGCATGAGCTGAAACTTCGAGAAACACGCTTGTTTAGATAAGCAAATTCGTAATGCTGAGATTCGTAATGCTCACGACTCCATTTCTGAAGAGATGATCAAAAAGTCGATTCAAAATGAGGGCATCCGCAACATCCGTAACCTATGGCACCCAGTCCAAGTCATAGTCAACATCTAAAAATGCACCACCAGTACAGGTCCAAACAGCATAATGGGTGTCCATCTAGCGAAAACAACTTCCCAGATCTTAAGTTCACATGAGATTATCGTAAAACTTGAAGAATACTAAGCACTGCAAATAACTGATCATACTGACCAGCGAGTTCATTCAAAGGAAAGCATTACAAACCAACCATGAATTCGTCAATACATAACAAAACTGATTCTTCAGCAATTTCTCCAGCAACCATCTCCAGCGGATCGGCCATGCCCCGTCTCCTCTAAGAACACAATGAAAGTTTATTTTTTTGTACCAACTATACCTCTCAACATAACCTCACAATAAACCAGTAAAACAAATAGAAACAAACCATAGAATCACACTAGAGAAGCATCAAACTTCACGGGTAACCAATCTAGAAGTTTACATTCTATTGATCCACAGAAGATTTCCTTACTTGCAAACGACTATGGACATGTAACATGAAATCGTGAAAGTGAGTCCTGCTCTTCCTCCACCTCCTGGGTCTGGAGTATGTAATCACCGACCACAACGCAAATTGGATTATGATAGAATCTTTCGGTGGTCATTCTAAAATGTTGATAGAAGAAATCACCAGAACTGCATACGTAGGGCATCAGACCTGCTTCAAGCTACGAAACGAAACCTAAAAGGACACAAAATCTTACAACTGCTCGTAAAACATGTCCATAAGCATGGTCTTCCCGGTTCCAACACCTCCATACAGGTAAAGTCCCCGAGGAGATGGAGTTATCGATTTGGACATGAAGTGTTTGAACAGCCAACCTCCTCCACTGCAAGCCAAGCCCTTCGCATCATGTCAATTCCTTCGTCAGCTCTAAGCCTAAGCAATATTCTAATGCCGAAACTTTTTAGCGTCATTTTGGCCGTACACCCGAGTACGAAGTGAGTGTTTTGTGCTGAAAGCAAACCTGCCACGTTGAGAACTTCGAGGCTGATCTTTCTCCAAACCAATATCGCCTGCATCCCTCATCAGATTCTCGTACAAGTCCTGGAGTTCTGCCACGGCCTTTTCCTGCTCCATTCCACAGCCATTGGTCTCAATCTATTGGCACCTTTGCTATTCACCCAGTCCACAGCGAGAACAACATCCTTGTCCACCCTACCCTCGACATCCATGACCGTATTGCACATATGTAAGAGAAGTTGCCACTGTGATGCTCTCGTTTAACGTGAAACTCGTGTACAATATATGCTTTCCGACCCACATTGTTTCTTTTCGTGAATTACCAACGTCTATGCAAAACCATCCTCCAAAATTGCTCCCCCAGCAAGTGCTTCGTTGCGTGATACGAGCCAGACTAGAAAGTTGAACCAGATACCTGGTATTCATCACCAGGCTTTAGCTCCTGGGCGGCAATTCTTCGCTCGTATTCTACTAATGGACCTGCTTTAAACTCCTCACCTGAAACTCCATAAGTACGAAGTCAAAATGAAGACACCCGCAAAAAGTCAGTACTCTATTAGGGCATAGCCATTTACACGTTACATTTGATCATGTGAAACTCTCGGAGTTTTCTTCGAGCACTTCCGTGGAATTTGAACGGGAAAAGTTCATACCATCAAAAGAATATAGTTTTAGCCTGACTGAAAGTCAACTCGCTACAGCAAGGCCTGATACTACACCTGATACGGAGACATCGATAGAAGATGCGAAGCCCCTGATCGCGAAGGGATACTCCTCGTGCAAGCTACAGCTGGCAGTGAAATCTGTGCAGCCCCGACGATTTGCATTATACCCTGCGAGTGGGTATAATTCCCTCCCATGAAATCTCACGTCACCTACTGCTTGAAGATGAGACTGCCGCCAGGGGACCTGTTTGTGCAAGCTTCGAGCTCGCGCCACCGCCCGCATCGTGCTTCATAAAGTCATACAACCTCAAAGATTTTCACCCTGTAACCTCGCGATACCGAGCTTCACCCAAGACGAATAGACGCACAAGATATGAAGTGGCAAGTAGGTGTAAAACAAATCGGGGTGCAAAAGAGTCAAATAATTCCCAAAATCCTGCCTCTCGGGCAAGACCCCAAAAACCCTCACGGTGCTAGTAATCTGAGAACCGCCGCAAAGTCCAACATCAACCGCGGCTAACCACGGACATACTCTAATCGAACCTCGACCAGCACCTCTGACACCACCACCACACAACTAAAACAACAAAGACCCGTTCGTCCACCACACCCAGAATGCGACTGACACATCGACACCTAACAACAGAATTAACCGTCGAAATCCATCACACTGATCAAGTCAGGGGATTCTCGTGATGAAACGAAACGATTTTGCTCCTCCCACCACTGGATGCACAGAATCCCAAGCTCACAGGGTTAGACAGATGCTTCTGCTACTTGCCGATGTACGTAGCGAAGTGTGGATCGCCGAACGCAACCTTGAGAAAGCAGTGACGATACACCTTGAGCGGAATCTTCGTCGAGTTCGTGAGATTTGGATTACGAGCCGTGGTGATTGCAGAGCCGAAAAGGCAGAAGTTGTGGTCCGGTGTCGGAAGGGACTATTCGGAGGGGGGGGTGTCAACCGGAAGGGTCAGGTTGCCACGTGTGAGGTGAGGTGGATTTGGCGCGAAAACTGATTGGCTCTCGTGAATACGCATATGGGTGTGATACACGCGTGCGCTTCTTGTGGAGGCTTGTGAACGGTCTCTTTGTGTGGGCTGGCCCTTTCTCACATAGAACATGAGTGATGGTGGTGCCAATTTGATGTTTACAAAATTACTTATTTTCAATTTGAATTCTAATTTTTATTAACATATTATTAAATTTTGAGATTATACTAGACAAATAGATAGATAGATAGATAGATAGATAGACAGACAGACAGACAAGCATTGGGGCCTCTTGATTTGATTCAAGAATAACATATTTTATAGTCATTGAGATGTAATAAGAAGAATATATTTTGGATGCGCATATGAATGGATGTTTGGATGAATTAAGACACACAAACATTTATATCCTAATTAAATCTCACTTTTTTTTCTAATACATAATACTTCTTTATTTATATACTCTTTATTATTCAATATACATGTATGTTATTTACAAATAATATTTTAAACTATACATGGTTTTATTTAATATTTTGTGATTAATTTTAGATTTAAATATAAAATCAAATAATATATTTTTCTTTTTTCAATACATTAAGTACATTCTTTGCATTAATTAGGTGTGGTTTAAGTTCATAAAGACATCTAAGTTCCTAACACCCTATGTCTATGGCAAAACTCAAAAAACAATTACTCACTTAAATAATTATTCTTAATCAGTTGTTCTCTTCAAACCCATGAATTATTAAACTTCTTAATAGGTCTCTAGGCTTCCAACTAATGTCTATTTGTATTTTAAAGAGTTTGTTTGTTATCCAAAATCTATTCCACCCTTTCATGAAGACTTTGTTAGAATCATCTTCACATTTTTTTTCTTTTTTTCTTTTTGTTTTTTCTATAAAAAATTGTTATTTTCTAATATGTTGGACCATATGAGTTTCATGGTTTGTGTGTTATTACATGTCTTGTTATTAAATGTCTTTGCATTCAATTACATCTAGATTAATTATACACAACAGTCTCTAAATAGATATTATATCTTTCTAAATATCTTAAATTGTTTAAATGTCAATTCAATGGAATTGACTTTTTTTTACAAAAAGACTTTCTATGGTCTCCATTTTATAGATATTGTGATCAGTTTATATAAAATATTTTTTGCCTAATATTATATTTGTTTAGCTTGAGAACATTCTCAAAATCTATAAATTACAAATTTAAGAAGAGTTGGTATACATATTTGACAAGTACTCATAGTATTTAATTTTGACTAGATCCTTCAAATTTCAACTAAAATACATCTATGGCATATAAGCAAAATAAATAGCCTCCTTGTAAATATGTGGTTGGAACCATATATCATTCTGATTGGCTAAATAATTACTATCAAATTAATCTTTTTTCTTTGAGACAATAAATTTCCATAGGTTTTTTTACTACAAAGATTGCATCTTAGTTTTGAAGTATATGCTATAATATTATATTTTTTACTCCATGAATAATTATGGAAATTAAAGGCCATTTTTTTAATAGTGCTAAAAAATAATATGGTATCTTTTTTAGATTTGTTTTTTTATTTCTATTCAAATAATCTCAAAAAAACCTTGAATATTATTTTTATTATTGAAATGATCTATAAGTGTCGAACATATTTTAGTTAATATCTTATTGAGATGTAAGAATAGAGATTGTGTTCCAAATCTATATATTTTAATATTAATAAATCAAGACATTACAAATCATAAAAGTGTTTTATTAGAGGATAAATAGGTCTTTATTTTAAAGACATACTTAGGTAGAATGGTTTTATTTGATATATAAATATATGAATACATATATATATATATATATATATATATATCAAATTTAAACTATTTTTTTAATAGATGAAGAGGTATTCTTTTTTTTAATAGTAGATATCTTGGTCTTGAATATTAATTTGATGAATGATATCAAAATAAATTATTTTTGACTAAATATATAAAATTTCCTACCATTTTTTTAAATAAAATATTTCATTTGATTTTTTTTAAATCTTTTATTTTTCAATTCCAAATTATATAACTCAATTATTCATGTAAAATTAATATGTGTATCTATAAGAAGAAATAATTTATTTTATCGTCTATTTTTTTTATACTATTGAAAATAAAAATAGATATTTTGTTTTCTTTAAAAACCATACCATATTATGCAACCTATTTTAATTTATATCTTAAAGCATTTTATTTTTATTTTTAATTTTTTAAATTTAGAATGATAATTGACTCAAAATCCTAATTTTTTTTTAGAGCTTTTGTAATAGTCTGTATTAAGCAATGATATAACAATATTTATAGATTTGACTCACTATGATGTAAAGCTCTAATGTTTTTACTTAGAAAATAAAGAGATCAATACATTTTTTAGATCAACCAATCCTAATTGTCTTTTATTATTTTATTTGAAAAAATACATTATGATTCATTTTTTTGATGAATAAATAAATAGTAGGTTAAATTAAAAAAAATATATGGTAGGTTGTTTTATAATTGAAAATAGTATTTTATTCTCTTCTATTTATTTTCCAGGAATAGTTCTTCACATACGTCTTTTTTTTTTTAATGTTTTTTTGAGTCTTAGCCCAAATTGGTATGAAATAATTAATAAAAGAGAATAAGATACTATTTGCAATTATAAGACAATCTACCATATTTTTTTAATTTTTAATTTATTTAAAAAAATAATTCTCATGGAATTGGTCTATATATATATATATATATATATATATATATATATATTAAAATACTTGGTTATATTGTATCCATAATTAGCTAAATAAATTTATTTATGCATATTCTATAACCTTTTGTATTGCCAATTTGAAACAAACTTGTATTAAATGATGTCCAAATCAAATGTCTTGTTAAATTGGTGAAAGACCTCAATTGCTTTTGCCACTCAAGATTCTTTTTACAATATAGTAATGATTGAATTGTCTCTATAGTAGATTAGAATTTATTGTGATTCTTTTTTACATAATATAATACCATATGCATCATTTTAAAGAAATTCATTTTAGAAGATCATATTATGATTTTCATCCACACAAGAAATATATAGCAAGAAAATAGACAATCCTATTGTCAGGGCAAATTTCACCTTCCAACCCAAATTACAAGATAACATTAATTAAAAGATTCTTGTAATTGGTAGTATGAAATAGTACAAGCAAATAACAAAAAGAAAAGAAGAAAAAATACAAAAAAATTATAAAAGATTATATTCAAGTAATTACACACTCCAAAACTAAGTCATTGTCTGTTTATTAGGTTTTTACATAGTAAAAAATTAAAATAAAAGTTTATATTTATATTTTTAGAAAATTATTTATTATCTTTTTGATGACATAAGAAACATGTAAATCTAACGTATCAAGAATAAGTTATAAAGGTTTGAAGATAAAAAATAAAAAATTAAATAAAAATATTTTACCTGAAAAATAACTTACTTATTGATCAAAGATTTGAGCCTCACCAAAGCTTACATATAGTGCATAAGGATATTTTAGAGAGGTCTCGAGGTCTTAGTCTTATCTTTCTACCTACATCCACGGTGCTACAACTTGTGCACCTCCATTCCTGCAAAGACTACAGTAGCTGTTGGTCTTCCTATTTTTTACTAGCAGAACTACCTTTTTTGCATTTTCGACTTCACCATGGTATTTAAAAACACCCAATTAGCCTAAAAAACATGTGAGGCCTTCAAAATCTTGCTCCATTTCTTTATATTAGCCTCCAAGGTGATAAAACTAAAATTTACCAAAGTCTTAAAATTTCCTCTAAATATTTTTGAAACAATTCTAAAAAAATTCTAAAAATGTTACATAAATTTTTATAATATTTATATAATACTAACATAAATTTAAAGATAAATTTTCATATCTTGGTGATTTTTTATAGTAATAAAATTAATATGAAAATAAACTAAAAATATTTTTTCTAAATTAAATAACTAAAAAGCCACGAGTTTTTTTTGTCATGCTTCTTTTAACTACTATCTAATATGTATATGTATTTCAATGAATAATACATGTAGATAGAAGATCAATGTAGTTATTGGTCTCAATAATTAACTATTAATACTGAATAGTAAAAAAAAATTAAACCAACTAAGATAATTATCTCTAAGACTTACTAAGTCTTCATTTTTAAGATTTTTTTTCTAATAAGATCCTTATATCCTCTGAATATTTTAAAATTCTAATAAATACTTAAATAATCAAAGATAATTTCTTATTCTAATATTTTTATACTTAAATAATTTAAAAATATATTTTTAACAATTCTATCAAATAAGATCTATTATTAGGATTCATATGTGGCTCATGCCTCTTTATAATTGGAATAACTATGTTGTGGTGCTATTATAACATACTAATGTCTTTGCTTTAAAAAATAATACTTTTATCATATATATAAATTAAGAAAAGAAGTACATTTTTTCTACAATTTTCAAAAAAATTCCACACAACTTATTGCATATTTTAGATAAGTTGAGTTTCATAGATGGAAGAAGTTGATTAGAGATTTTAGATCACTTGAAAGTATAATAAGAAATAAAATATTATATACAATAAATCTCAATAGAAAAATCTATAGATTGATCTAAATTGATGATTTCTAATAAGATTTTTTGAAGTATTTTTTTTAGGATTTTGGTAAAACTATTATATGTTATATTGACTAATGAAATGAATTGCCAATTACTAAGGGTAGCCTTATCTTTTTTCTCACATAAAAGAACTATATTGCCTCTATTACCTTTTCTACAATATTATTTTATATTATAAGACAATCATTTTTAGTATTATCTCAGTTGCATTAAAAAAATTCTATTCATATCCTTTTTGAATTTGACTTGTTTTCTTTTGACATCTCTTTAATTTTTTGTTATATTTTTTCAAACCTTAATGATTTTACAAGGTGTAAATTTATTTATTTTTAAAACTACTATTCAAACATTTGAAAATATATTTTCTATAGCTTTATGATGTAAAGTTGAGTAACTTTATTTTTGATACAAATTAGAACTAAAGTCATAATATTATGTCTAAATTAAAGGAGAATCCTTTACTTTGTATCCATATTCATAATAAAGATCCAATATTTTTTTGCTTAAGTCTTTTTTCTATTGTTGATTTAATTTTTTTTTTGATACCTTTGTCTCCTTAAAATTTATAATTTATTCTTAGTCTTATGATCTTCTTCTTTCAATTCATTTTTTTTAATATATAATTTTTATTTAATTGAAAGGTTTATTTTCCTAAGAGAAAAAAGATATATATGTAAATATAAAAATAAAAATATGTAATGTTTTTATAATTTTTAAAAAATAATATATAATATATTCTTAAATAGTAGTAAGAATAATATAATCTTTTTTTATTAAAATTTACTAAAAATATATTATTTAGTTTTTAACAAAACACCAATTTTATTGAATTTTATAAAAAAGAATATTAAATCACTGTTTTATTTTTTTGAATAATAATTTTAATCTTTCTTTTATTTAAAATTAAAATAACTAACAATATATTAATATTATGTATTATCATATTAAGAACATATTTAATTGAATTACAAAGCTATATATTTGTAGTATTTATATAATATATTTTTTATTTAATTAAGAAAATAAAAATATTAATTGGATAGTTTACATTGAAATCTATTTAAAAATAAATTAGTAAAAAAAATTGTAAATGTTTTATGCAGTTTCCATGTCTAAGTGTAAACTCAATATCCAATCTTTGTAGCTTTCAAGTTTTCAAATCAATATTCAATTTTTTTCATAATTAAAAGAAAACCTTGAATATTTTTAATTATATTATGAAAATTCACAACATTCAAATATGTAAAACTCTAATATAAAATTTCTCATATATATATATATATATATATATATTTTTCTTTATGTTTTTTTGTTTCCTCTTCATTTTTGAAATTTTCTTGTTCAAGGAATGTATTTATTGAAAAAAATTAATACTCACCAATTTTTATTTGTATCTGTATTAGTATTATTTATTTATTTATATTTTTTCAAAATTGTGTTTTTGGATAACATGAATGCCTGGTCTTCCCCGCTACAATGGGGAACGGAGATAGGAACGATGTTCCCTTGCTGTCACGGAACCAGGTCGGAGAAGCTCACAGACGCGTCCAGTGGAGTCGACAAAGACGACGACGACGACATCAACGGGGTTTGAGCTTGGAGGCATTGTTGGCTGTGCGTAGAAGCAGCGAGGCGTCGAGCTCGGAGTTGAGCTTGGATTTTAAGCTCTGCTCTGTCGAAGGATAGAAAGAAGACGATGATGAAGATGAAGACTCCAGGCAAGAGCATCAGTCACCGAGCGTACGCGCGCATAGGGTTCCTCGGCAATCCCAGTGATGCCTACTACGGCAACACGCTCGCCGTTGCCATTGGCAACTTCGGCGCTTCCGTGACGCTCGAGCCCTCAGACACGCTCGTGTTCCGCCCGCATCCCGTGCATGATCCAGCGCATTTCACGTCCCTGCAGCACTTGGTGTGATTTATTGGATTTGAACCTGGTTCAGAGTGTCAATTTTTTATTTTTATTTTTATCTTTATGATTTTGAAGGAAATTCGGTGTGACGTCGTTGGTCTGGTGCGGGCAGGTTGCGCGAGTGGAAGGGGAAGGGTACTATGGCGGTGTGCGTTTACTTATGGCAATTTGCAAGGTATTCCATGCCTACTGCGAAGTGCGCGGCATTATCTTGCACGATCGCAATTTCACATTGAGCTATGATACGAACGTGCCTAGGCAGGTGAGTTGTGCGGAAGCCGTTAGTGCATTGGGAATTAGCGAGGGATTCTTTGTGATGTGTAAGGTGTGTGAGAGGCTGCTTTGGAATTAACGTATCTATTTTATAGGCTGGTCTATCAGGATCGAGTGCGATCGTGTGTGCGGCTCTGTCATGTTTGCTGGAGTTTTTCAACGTCGGAGATCGTATGAAGGTGGAAGACCGACCGAAAGTTATCTTGAGCGCAGAGGAGGAGCTAGGCATAACTGCAGGGTTGCAAGACCGAGTGGCGCAAGTATACGGAGGTCTAGTTTACATGGTTCGCTCTCTGCAACTTAATTGTTAATTTACTGTTTCCGTTCTCAGAAGATTGTGTATTGAGTTGAAAAGTTATTTTTTTAGAGCAAATTCGAATAGTGAGATGATGGAATACAGATGCTTATATGAAAGGTTCTTTCATTTGCATTAGACGGATGATGGAGTAGCGCCTCTGTTTTAGCTGGAAACAGTATTAATACGACACGATTGTTTTCTTTTGGTTTTTAACGTGATGCTGAACATAGGATTTTGACAAAGCCACCCTAGAGAGGACTGGAAACGGTATATATACACCCATGGATCCGAAATTGCTTCCTCAACTGTACCTGATCTACACGAAGAATCCCAGCGATTCTGGCAAGGCCCGTGGCTTTACTTGAATTCCATCCTCGGAAGAATTTCGATTGCGTGGTGTATTTGGAATTTCAAATGTAGTTGAGCTGAATGCGAGCTACTTCACTAGTTCTCTAGAAACTACCATCAGGAGGTTTCATCTGAGTTCGGCGTTTAGCATTTCAAGAGGTTCTGTGCACCTTTGTTTTGGAAGTACTTTTCTGGCCTGTTGATGAGTGCTTTCTTACACTTATTGGTAACTTTCTTGCGACTTCACAATGCAGGTGCATAGTACGGTGAGGAAAAGGTGGTTAGACGGTGATGAATTGGTTAGGAATTGTATGAAAGAAGTTGCGAGTCTTGCCGTAAAGGGACGAGATGCTTTGCTTCGGCAAGATTTTTCCACCATCGCGAAGCTAATGGACACCAACTTTGACTTACGTAGGTAAGTTGACAGTTTCATCTCTTAAAAATTATGGAATGGTGTGGAGGTAGTATAATATCCCGGTTCATTTATCTAATGCGATTTCGCTCAACTTTCCATCCAGTGCATCTCAGTATAGTAGCACTAGTTCAAATCACATGTTAGGATCTTGGACACAATGTAGTGTCTTATAAAAAAACTGTTGGTTGTGGCAGAACTATGTTTGGCGATGCTACTCTTGGAAAGATGAACATTAAAATGGTTGAGACTGCTCGCGGTGTTGGAGCTGCATGCAAGTTTACAGGGAGTGGAGGTGCAGTTATTGCATTCTGTCCTGACGGCGAAAAGCAAGTGAAGGCTTTGCAGGAGGCTTGTGCTAAAGCTGGTTACACTGTTGAGGGTGTTATTCCTGCTCCAGCCAATGTCTAACCTATAATATCCTAGATTTCTGAGAGCGGGTGGGAATTTCCAAGGTAATAATCATGGCTGAGTGCTATTTATTCGAGCACTAAAAGAGGATTTTTAAATACGCTCAATGCACGTATTTTTCTAGTTTCCTCTGTTTGACCATGAAAAAGGGAAATGTACATGATGAAACTGACAAGGACACTGCATCCAGTATAGTCCTTAACATTTTTTCCTCTCCTTTCTTGACGTAACGTATGCAAAATGCGCGCTCCTACTGGCTTTTTCACAGCCAAGAAAGGCTAAACTCAGCAAAGAGAAAAAAGAGCGATTTTGCTTGGTATATCCGATGTTCGTGTTCCTCATATGATGCATAGAATGAACAAGTTTCAGGACGCCATCGGAGAGTTGCATTGGCATGGGGTCCAACTTTGAGCTTCTGAAGCGTTATAGACGAAGAGTCGTCTTTCAGATACAGCCTGGTACGAAATGTGATGAATAAAGTCACAAGACCGCATCATACCCGAGTGTAGCCGTGAAGAGACAGCATGAGTTTTATGCATCATGCGATGGGGAGGTCTGTGATGTAATGTGTCCGGTTGTGCTTAGTAGGCTCGGCGAGTTATCCTGAATTTTATATTTCCATGAACTTCGTATTGTAAACGTTCCTGAGATTCCCTCTAATTTGGCAAACCAATGAAATGAAAGCACTACAATAGCTGTCGTAGTTTGAAATCGCAGATTTCTGAGTGTGGAGGGGCGAGAGCGGTCTTCTGCGAATTAGGACGCTACCACACAATCGTTGTCGGTAGTGCAGGGTACCGCAGCTTTGAAACATCCCTGCTCTCTGAAAGAAAAAAACTGCTTGTGGAGACGTCAGGCAAAGGAGGAGTGTAAAGAAAGAAGGCGAGTCATACTTGACTTGGTGAACGTCAGGAGAATTTTAGGAAAGAGTAACCGGAAGCCTTGAAATAAACCGTGGTTTTGTGTTTTGCCTGTTGCACTTCACTAGATGGTCACTGGTGAAGAGCCTTCCAGGATGGATTCTTGATTGTGGAGTTTCCATGCCTGATCCATTTTAATGTTCATTTTGACTCTTTTGTCTTCTACCACTCTTACCTCCTGGCTTCCATTTTTTTATCCTACAACCCAAATGAGTTTTGTCTGTGTTGTGGATAAGGCACTAAATGATATTAGATTCTTGTGCCACTTCTTAATGGCAATAGTGTAGTGGAAGTCTTGAAGTTTTGGTATTAAAAATAAGGTATTGTTAATGCTATCATAGTTTTTGCTACTACCATCACAATTTGCCATCTATCATGTCACTTTAGTTTTTGCTACTGCCACCACAACTTACCATCTATTCAATATATTTCATGATTTATTTATTTATTTATTATTATTTATCAAGAATTTTTTAATATTTTTAATGTGATTTTTTGTTTTGTTTTGTTTTGTTTTGTTTTTTTTTTATGTTTCAAATTTAAATAAAAAATCATTAAAAAAATTATTAAGAATAAGTTGTGGTGATATTAGCAACATCCTAAAATGTGTTCATCATTTGTATAAAAAATGATATGTTTTGTAATAATTGAATTTTTATTAATATGCATAATTGGTATTATATTTAATAGATAAGCTTTTGAAATGCAAAGTCATATTGTTCCATGCCTTTTATTTTTTAAAGTAATTTTGATAGTGATTTATAAAATGCAAAATGGGAGACATTAATATAATTGAGAACCTTCTACAAGTAATGTTTTAAATCTTATCTCATATATCTATTAATATAGAATGCATTTAAGAAGAATTGGGCAATAAAAAGCATAAAAAATAAGACCAATATCAACTTTTTGTACTAAACAACATTAATAATAGGTCTATTTTTATACATAAATAAAATGCTATAGAGATATGAGAGACTAATTTATTATATATTATTTAAAAAAATTAATCTAATAAAAAAACCAAATAAATAGATAAAGAAATTTATTTGTTTGTTTGTTTGTTTGTTTTTGTTTTTCCATATTAACTTAAAGATTTTATTTTAGTACTCATATTTGCTTCTCTACTCTTTGAAGGTTTGCTTCTCAACTATCTTCTTATTCCAACACTCCATAATATTATAACATGATTTATTTATTTATTTATTATTATGATTATTATTATTTTGTAGCAACATTTGTATGCAATTGCATGACATCAATGTTAGTACTTTAGGTAGGTATTCTAATGTCTATAAGAGAGCATTGAATTTTAAAGAGGTGTCATGTAATATAGCATTAAATGCCAAATCTCATTGGATGTATATATTGAAGAAAAGAAGTCTAAAAGCTACAAACACTTAGCATCAACAAGGATTGTAGTTTAAGAGAAGTGTGGAGAAAGATGATTCTTACTTCCAACACTCTTTACTTATAGGTGGTGGTTTGTTCACCAACAAGGCAACTTCCATCCTTTTGATATTACATTCATTTCTACCTCATCCAAGTAAACCCTTGATGCCACCACAATAACTTACTTTAACTCTTTGCTACCTTTTTACTATTAGCAACATACTATGCTTAATCTCTATGTGGTTGTAACTAAGCAAGTACTTGCTGATCTTCAACACTCCCACTTTGCTAATATTCAAAAGGCTTTTAATCCTAATCTCTGAATCAAGTCATGATGTCTATCCTTCACTAATGCCTTTGTAAGCATATCAGCAAGCATGTCATTTGTTGTACAGTATTTCATACCTATTATTCCATCTTCAATCTTCTCTCATATGAAATGATGTTGAATACTAGACTAATGTCTTCTAAGAGTTGCCTTATCCAACACGCCTCCATTGCATAATGACTTGTTGCCATGTACTCTGCCTCCATCATTAATCTTGCAATGGTAGGTTGTCTCTTGCAATTCTATGAAATGGCTCCCACTCCAATGAAGAACACATATCTTGTTGTGGATCTTCTATCATTTGCAACTCCAAACCAATCCGCATCACAATAACTTTGTAAATCAATGTTCTTACCACCAAGGCACAATTTAAAGTCTTTTGTACTTTTTAAGTACCTTAATATCCTCTTTACTATTTTCCAATGCATTGGTCCAGCCTTAGATATGTGTTGGCTTACAACACTCATTGCATACGCAAGATCGACTCTTGTGGCTACCATTGCATATATGAGTGAGCCTACTGCTACCTTGTATGGAATACTTTGCATCTCATCTTCAACTTGTGCAAACTCCTCATCCATGAGCTTCATCAACTTCAAATTTGCTTCTAAAGATGTTCCAATAGGCTTGCACTCCTCCATGTTAAATTGTTTCAATACTTCTTCAATGTACTTGATTTGGCTCATTGTAATGGTCTTGTTACCACTATCTCTTACAAATTCCACTCCCAAGCAATAATTCAACTCTTTCAAATCATTCATCTCATATTCTTTTTCTAATTTGGCCTTCATCCAATCCATCTTTTCCATATTGTTAGCCAAGTTGATCAAATCATCAACATAAAGGATTACAATCAGTAAAAACTCTCTAGATTGTATCACGTACAATGAATGATCAGCTTCACTCCTCACAAATCCTTCATTGACAAAGAAGATGTCAATTCATTGGTACCATGCCTTTGTTGATTGTTTCAATCCATACAAAGATTTCTTCAATTTATACACAAGATGTTCTTTGCCTTGTTGTACAAATCCTTGAGGTTGGTCCTTGTAGATGTCTTCTTGCAATTCTCCATTCAAAAAGGCCGTCTTTACATCTATTTGGTGTATTTTTAAATCCATTGCTATCCTAATTGCTACAATGGACCTAATGGTGGTGAATTTGGCAACGGATGTATAAGTCTCATTGAAATCAATTCCAACAACTTGTGACTATCCTATTGCAATTAATCTTATCTTGTGCCTCACCACCACACCCATTGCATTTCTTTTAGTCCTAAACACCCACTTACAACCAATACTAGATCGATTTGTTGGAAGAGGTGCTAATTCCCATATACCATTGTCTATAAGAGATTGGTACTCTTCTTCCATAGCCTTCTTCCACTTGATTGCATCTTCACACTTCATAGCATCACACAAAGATAATGGATCAGCAAGAAGAGCAACATTTGCATGTTCTTTACTTATTTCAAGAAAGATGTGATCCTTCCACCATTCGCCATGTTGCCTTCTTTCTCTCAAAGGATATCTCCTTTCACTTGTAGAAGAACATTCACCTTCTTGCATTCCTTGTTCTTTTCCAACTCTTAAATCTTATCATTTTTTACTCAATCGTTGGTACTCTTCATTATTATCATCATCCCAATCTTCAACATCTTCATTTCTTTCATTGATGGTCCTAGCAATTGTAAGAGCCTTCATCTTTTCAACCTCCTTTGGCTTTTCATCTTCATCATCTTCATTATCTTCATCTTCTTGTTTCTTTGCTGAATTCAAAGATGTGTCCACAAATACACCATTACTTCTACTTGGACACATCTCCAAGTGCTCATAAGCACTCTTGTGCTCCAAAAACTCAACATCACAACTTTTGATGATCTTCTTGGTTTCCAAGCACATTAGCTCATATGCCTTAGTACCTTCATAATAACCAAGAAACACACACTTTGTACCTTTTGCATTAAGTTTGGATCTCATACAATCTGGTGTTTTTGCATATGCAATGCAATCAAAGGTCCTCATATGAAAAATACAAGGTTGTTTCCCACTCCAAGCTTCTTGTGGTGTCATTGATGCAAGAGCACTTGTTGGACACCTATTTCTTGTATACACTGCATTCATCATAGCTTCTGCCCAAAATTCATAGCCAAGGTTTTGAGCATGAAGCATGCTCCTTGCCATCTCTACAATGGTTCGATTTGTCCTTTCAGCAACACTATTTTATTGTGGAATGCATGGAGGTGTGGTTTGTCTAGCAATTCCTTCATTCTTCAAATAAACATCAAATTGCTTAGACATGTACTCACCTCCATTGTTCGTACGCAGTACCTTGATCTTACATTCACTTTGTTTCTCAACAAGTGCTTTAAACTCCTTAAACCTCCAAAAGCATTCACTCTTAGCTTTAAGAATGTAGATCCAAATCTTTCTTGAATAATCATCAATGAAAGTAAGAAAATACCTTGATCCTCCAATATTTGTATTCTTCATAGGTCTACATACATCCAAATGGACAATCTCCAGCAACTTGGTAGCACGTGTTGCTACACTCTTTGGAAATGAGGCCCTTTGTTGTTTGCCTTGTATGCATCCTTCACATGCAAGTTGTTTTGTATTATGGCTTGTATTGCCAAGATCTAAGCCAGTTACCATGGTCTTGAGCTCTCTCATACTCTTTACATTCAAATGGCCAAGGCAAAGATGCCATATATTCAACTTGGCTTAGTTTGATGTAAACTTAGTAAATGCAGCTACTTCCACTCCATTCACCTTCTTACAAATGAGGTAGTACAAATTTCTCTCTTTCAAGCCTTTGAAGACCTTGTCTCCATTCAATGTTCTTACAAAACATCCATTTATGTCAAATTGAACTTTAAAACCTTCCATTACAAGTTTACTCACCAAAAGTAGGTTTTGCTTCATCTTAGGCACATGAAGGATGTTTTTGAATTTGATCCTATTGGTTTGTCCATTCACAACCACCTCCACCATAATAGAGCCAATTCCAATGGCTTCACATGTACCACCATTTGTCAACACCACGTTTGATGCTGGAATAGCCTCATAAGTATCAAATGAACACTTATAAGGTGTCATATGCTTGGAATAACCTGAATCCACAATCAATCTTGACATGGCAGCCAAAGAGGTCCCATTTGTTGCTGTGAATGCATAATCTTATCATCCAAACTCATCTTGCACACTATTTGCATTCTCCTTCTTCATCTTTTTGCCTTTGTAGTAATTTTGAGCAAAATGGCTTACTTTGCCACAAATGAAGCAAGATTTTACATTTCCTCGTTGATTTGAATAGTTGCCCTTGCCTTGACGTGAGTAGAGTGCTGAATCTTCACTTTGAGGCTCCTTTTCTTTCTTCTTGGTTACTTCATAGGCAAGTCTTACCATCACATAATCCATTGTAAGCTCTTTTAGCTTGATGGC